CATGTCGTTCAGGATGCTTGACCACCCATCGCCCTTCTGGAAGCAGCTCCACGGTGTAACTTGAAGAATCTGCAAGGTTTCCTCGTACAACCTCAGTTGCTGTGGTGCTCCATTCCCCTGCAGTCTTTGAGTATGCCATGTAACGGTCTCCCCGTGTTAGAGCGAGCTTCAAGGCCCAACTCAAAATAACAAAACCAATCGCCTTGTCCCTCAACTGGGACATAGATGCATGTTGCGACTCGACTGGGTTTGACGAGAGGCATCCAAACCTAGCTGCAGGAAATTTTGCCGTTGCCCATTTCGCGGCCAGCTGCCCATCTTCCCCTTCCAGGTACGCTCGCCCACCGGGACACATGTCATCCAGCTTGCCCATCCGAAACTCATAGAGCTGCTCTGTCAAGGTCTCAGATGCGTCTCGTATGAGTTGACTGAGATCCATGCCAAACTTGGCCTTGAAATCGCGTGTCAGATGGGTCACACAATAAGAAACACGTGCATTAGGGAGGACCTCGCGACAAGCCGCGTCCCACCCTTTTGCACGATCATGCTTGATCGTCCAAGCCGTGGTATTCAGCTCTGGAAACACCCGAAGCAGCTCTCTCAGTGGTAAAGAGCACCCTTCTTTGCTCTCTGACTCGACAAACGCTATGCCCACGGATATGTAGTGACCTTCCCCATCAAGCACAACAAGGTTGATGGTATGGCCTCCCCACACAGATTTGTTGTGACACCCATCCACAATCAGAATTGGGATGGCATTCAACATTGTAGACCTTGCAACGTTCGATATGATGGAGGCACTGAAAAAACGCCCTTCTCGCTTGTTAAAGAACACAAGGGTTCCCGGGTTCTTAATCACTAGCCTCTCCATGATGCTTTTCACAAACTGAAATGACTTTTCAGTTTGCAAAGGGTCGTTCTCCTTGAGGTCATTCAAGGCTCGCCATGCTGTAGCGTACGATGATTTGGACCCTTGACGCTGCTGCATTTCATTTTGTAGGGTCTTAGGGGTCATGCCGACTATCGGCAAAGACATAGCAAGGGAGATGAGGTTTCTCCTACGGGCGGGACGAGGACGGGCTGTGCAACGGTTATGGTGGTGCAAGTGTGAGGTTACGACGCGCATGCCACCTGATGCTCTGAGCCGAAGGTTAATCTTGAAAGGACACTTCAGCCCAAGCAAAGCAGACTGCGTTGGGCCTCTAACGGACCTACTAAACATGGATGGACACTTCACATCCAACCTTTTTGGAGACCTCACTGCAAACACGTACGGCACACGCAAGCGATGACATTGGTCCTCAATGTCATCGCGCGCATCGACGGCATTACGATAGTACTTTCCGACCTCAAAATCCAAGGACCGATTGCCATTATCCATCTGTAGACATAAAAAGAAGGAAGGGGAGGTATAGGGGACGGAAGGGTGGTGGACTCTCTTTAGGAAAAGAGGGTATCGTGGGCGGAGAGCGACCTGCATGCAGTGTCACTGACAGAAGGGTCAAGTGAGGATGGCCGGTTACCACAGCAACAGCAACCACATTTTGTCACTTGTCTCAAGATGCCAATACCTATAGCAATCATCCTAGACTGAAGAACACTGCAGTAAAAAATAATGAACTTCAGTATAAACTCTGAACAGCAGTCCACAACCGTCAACAGCAGTCAAGAGCAATCAACACTAGTCAGCGGCAATCAACAATTATCAACAGCAAACAACAGCGTAATCAACAACATACAACAACCGTCAACAGGATACAACAACAGTCAACAACATACAACAACAGTCAATAGCAGATAACAACAGTCAATAGCAGACAACAACATTCAACAACAAACAACAACAGTCAACAGAAGTCTACATCACTCCAAAACAGTCAAGAGCAGTCAACCGCAACCCCATAGCAATAAACAGCAGGCCATTTTCAAACACGTTGGGCAGAGGCTCCACAGCTCCACAACCTAGGTGACACTTACATGAGCAAGAACTGGGAGAGTCTTGACAGAACCGTGGGGAAGGGCCCGGAAAAAATAAATGTTCCCAAGGTCACTGAAAGGAACAAGGGTGGGAGAGCAGAAAAGCTAGAGCTTAGTAGAGGAGTAAATGAGAGGGAAGGATGCGATCGGAGGGTCTTTTTCAATGGTTGTGAGGCAGATTTTACATCATTTTAATATGCCTCACAATCAAGAGTTCTTTAAGTGGCTGGGTCTGAGCAAGAAAGGCTTTGGCCAATCACTTCATTGATTGCAATGTGAATGGCAGTCACTATGACGCTACGGTGACGAAGTATCCAAAGAGAACCGATGTACCATAAGATATAGCAGCTCCTCTCTTACATCGCAATTCCAAGCTCTTGGCGATTATGTGTCAAGAGAGAATACACGTGAAATGCGAAATGCAACGACCAAGAGGAGGTAAATTGATCAAGGGGGAAATTGGTTTGAGTTACGAGACAAGATAAACGCCGTTGGAGAATTAGGGTTACGAGGGCGAACGTCGACTAAGTCTGGAGAGGAGGATGCACTGGGCGACTGCACTGCCTCCGCTTCACAGCTTGGGTGAGCGCGGAAGTTGGGGGGAGGTGGGGAAGGGGAGAGGGTGTGGGTTGCGCTCGACCAGGCTGGTTTGGCCATGTTGTTTGTTCGAATTCCGTCAGTGGGCGTCAGTGAACAAAAGTCCGTCAGCTAGAACAGTAAGTGAGAGGCGAATTGGTTCAAGGGTCTGTTGCTGAACGTGTGTACAGTGCCAGAACAGTGCCCGTAACAGTGGCGGAAAGTTTTGGGCTCCCACCTGAGTACGTTTCCCGTACTGTTGGGATCGCACCTGAAAATGGCCCGACCACCAGCTACAAAGGTGTGAGTGTTTTGCATTTCGCCAACTCAGCATTCCGCCATGTCTCTCATTGCGCTGATGCGCTTCCTTGGAATTCTCATTCCACCACGTCATCGTGCCACTCCAACATCCACGTGGCGAGCTTTGCTTGTGGGGGACCGTTTATGGTTTCGGTCGTGCCTCTATTGGTGCACGAATGTGTTGCGAGTGTCGCACACTCTTCGTACGTGCCTGGAACCACACACGTTCACTACAACGTGCAAAATCACGTTTGCTCATACACTCGAGTCTTGTTCACTTTTAGGGGCTCGAGTTAGGTGGGAGGGGTAGTGAAACACCCATTTGGCGAAAACGTTTGCGAACATTCACGAAATTGGTTACCACCCTAAGTTCGAACCCATTTTCGAACTGCAATTAGTTTCACACACGTCCTTACGTTATCCGAATTTGTGGGGGAAAGCCCCAGCGGAGATGGTAGAATTTGTGCATTTTCACATCACAGGTTCGTGGGTCAGACACGGTGGTGGTGGGAATCACAAGACAGGCCCCATTGTGACGGCACGCTATGCTTTAAAAGTAGGTTTAATATAAAGGGTACAACACAGGGAAGGGTAATCTTCTAAACGACTCCGCTATACCATGGTTCTACTGTCTAAAATGAAGCTATGAACAAGGTACTTCAATAACTGTGTTTGTCGAACGCCTAATGATCTTTTCCACCCTCAAAAAAGTTTCTATTACGAAGTTTAACTCTTCAGTGACGCATTTGTGGAGGAGCGCTTCACGAACGAATTCACAGGTTCGTGGATCAGGCACGGTGTCCTTGCAGCGAGATTCGTAGCCAGGGCCCATTGTGACTGTGGGCTATGCATTAAAAGTAGGTGTAATTAAAAGGGTACAACCTAGGGGCGGGAAATCTTCTAAATGACTCCGTTATACGATGGTTCTACCGTCGAAAACAAAGCAATGACAAGGTACTTTAAAACCCAAACCTGTTAGTGACCGTGTTGTCGAACGTTGAAGATCGTTTACACATTTCAAAACGTTTCTATTATGAAGTTTACCCCTCCCAAAAATTTTACTCTTCAGTGACGTATTTGTGGAGGAGCGTTACGAACGAATTTCACAGGTTCGTGGATCAGGTTAAGGTTAAGGTTATATATTGATCGTATTCAATTTACAGAGAGTATCGATAGAGCAGTCTAGAAACATGGCCGAGGTGGCCAGCATCCTCAGCGGAGCACGTGGAACACACGTTATTCCTTGTCCCTGCGGACAACCGCCAGTTGCCTGGGGAGACGCTCTATGCAATGGGTGACTATGGTGGTCGGAACGGATTTCCCAAGAGCCAAGAGAACCTTAGGTCAGGGTGGATAGAGGGTATGCCGGTCCTGTCGAAAAGAAGGAATCGGAGTTTTTGCGCTCGCTTGATGCTGGATGCTATACGCTGACGTTTCTTTGCCGATTGTCGTTCGCCTCTCCACATATAGATCTTGAAAGCGATTAGGAACTGGGCTAAGATGAGCTGCAGTGTCTCAAAGCTCGAGGAGGAGGAGTTGCGGTACCTGTAGTCACAACGATTATTCCACAGCGTCTTGACTGCTGCGCCGACGAGTAAGCTCCAAGGGGGGGAACTTCCGTCTCGTGACTGTATAGGGAAGAAGATGTGTTCGGTGGGTGCGGTTTGTCCGAGGTGGCGGTCGGCGACAGTGCGTAGGGCAGAGATGACGTTTCCGGCAGAGGCACATTCGAAGAAGATATGCGGCAGTGTTTCTACCACAGCAGCAGGGCATCGGGGGCAAACTCCTCTGTCGTCGAAGTATTGGAAGCGTGATCCAGAGGGGGGAGTGAGTGTGTAGAGTCTGAAGAGAATATCCCGTTGGCGGCTTGGCTGGTCTTTGAGGAAGGGGTCCTTGAGGCCAGGGAGAGGGGGAGGAGGAAGGGTGAGGTCTCGGGTCCAGCGACTGTGGTGGGTGAGTGGCTGTGAGGAGTAAAGGAGGCGGCGGATGTCGGCGAGGCTGGGGGTACCGTCTTGTAGAAGTTCTACCCTAGCTCCTAAACCTGTCCCTGTATGGAGTGGCCCTGCGAGCCACCATTCCCTGACGTACACCTCGATAAGGTCCTGTAAACGAAACAGTCCGGTGTTGATTGGGGTGCGGCCGATGCGATGGTTGGGCGAGACTGGGTGGACGGTAGCCGAAACAGTAGAGGGGGGGATGAAATTGACGACCTGGATAACGCGGTGGGAAATGGAGTAGTGATCATCCGAGATCATGAACCAGTCTCCCGGGGAGGCAGAGGTGGAGTGAGGGGATCGGAGTCCGGCCCACCAGGGGGGCTTGATGGCCTCAATGAGATCCGGGAGGAGGCGAGTGGCGTCGTCGTGGAATTCCTCCGGAAGTTGGGAGCAGAACTCCTGAGCCGAGATGGGCCAGACGTCAAAGTTTGTAATTCGGACAATGTGTCCAATGCGGAGTTGTCGTATAAGCAGGAAGCGCTCGTGTTGGCGGGTGCCGAAAGGTCGCTCGTCGGGCTTGAGGAGCAGCCGGTTAAAGGCGAGGGGTTCGGTGAGGATGCATTGCATTCGTAAAGGTGGGCCATGGATAACTAGGGGAAGGGCGAGGCGGGATTTAAGTTCGTCCAGTGCTCGTGGTGGGATGAAGGAGGGGAGATAGTCTCGTTCGAGGATGGCCTTATGGGAAAACAGCCCATGTAGCCCGTATGGAAACGGGGTCAGGGTCCGAGTGACTTCCTCGGCTGGGGTGGGTCCAAATCTGCGTAAAGCGTGTTGGATAGCGAGAGCTTTGATTTGGGTGGATGGTGCGATCGCCCCAACCCCACCGTCTTTGGGTGAATTATAGAGAAGGCCGTTGGGGAGGAAGCGTTGTGCGAGGCCGTCTTGTTTGTGTTTTGAGGACGAGAGGAAGTTTCCCACTGAAATGTCAAGTCGCTTGATGGTAATCGGTGGTGCAGGTTGGAAGCGGCCGGGAAAGGAGATGACGGAATTCAGAAAGATCGATGACAGAGATCTGCGACACGTGACAGTGGCGTGCACGGCCACTAGAAACTTGGCGATGCTTTGTATGCGGGCGAGGGCATTGGTCCAAGTGGTGGATCCAGGGTGTAGTCGTTCAACATATATTCCAAGAATGCGTTCCGCTTTGCCGGGGCCTCGTACGGGAATAGGCCCGGCGTGTGTGAGGTCGGTGGGGTTGATGTTGAAGGGGATGATGGAACATTTGTTCCAGTTGGGTACCTCCTCGGATACGGATCCAAAGACGCCAAGGAGTATCACTGCGAGACCGATGTGTCAGAGGTGAGGAAAAGAGTGACATCGTCCGCGTAGCACACCATAAGTCGGCGCTGGACAGGAGATAGCGCGAAGCCGGGGAGGAAGAGGGACATGTATCGGTGGAAGATCTCTATGACACACACGAAAAGCAGAGGTGCCAGAGGACAACCCTGTCGGACGCCCGTGCGAACAGGGAAGGTGGGGCCTAGCATGTTGTTGACGGAGATTCGTGTGGTGGTGTCGGAGTGCATTAGTCGTACCCAGTGTATGAAGGGAGCTGGAATTCCCAGGACCGCTAAGGCTTGCAGGAGAAAGGGTCGGTCGACTAGGTCGTAGGCTTTTCGGAAGTCGACCGTAAGCGCGAGGAGAGGGCTAGATGAGAATGCTGCCCAATCCATGATATCTAGGGTATCGTTGATTGTGTCCCCGATTTTCCGGTGTTTGATGAAGGCGGTTTGGGATGGATGGATGAGTTGGGGGAGAACTAGCTGGAGGCGGTTGGCAAGGCACAGCGCGAGTACTTTGTAGTCCGCGTTCATGAGGGTGATGGGGCGAAGATTTTCTACGAGCGAGGAATCGCCCCGTTTGGGGATGAGGACAGTGCGTCCGGTCAGCATAGACGGGGGTAGGCGCAAGAGAGGTTGTGGAGGGGAGAGCAGGGAGTGGAAGACCGGTGCGAATCGTGGGGCGAACTGCCGAAAGAGCTCCCCGGGCAGGCCGTCTGGGCCGGGGGCTTTTCCTCGGGACAGAGAGAGTATTGCCTTCCCAATTTCGGCTAGGGAGAAGGGGGCACCAAGTCGCACTAGAAGGGGGTTCGGGACGGGGGAGGGAGGAATGTGTTGCCAGAAGGCAGTGCTTGCAGTGGCAGAGGTGTTTCCGCTGTAAAGTGTCTGGAAGAAGTGTGAGCACAGGTTGGTCATGGTGGGGAGATCCGACGTTGTTTGTCCATTCGGTAGGGTCAGGGAGTTGATGATTGAGCCCTTGATTCGCGAGTTAAGGCCAGAGAGAAGGGAGGAAACTCCCATTTCCCTGTGCCCTTCCACTTTAAGCTTGGCCTTGAGCGCGAGGTTCGTGGATCAGGCACGGCGTTTCTTGCGGCGGGATTCGTAGCCATGTGACGGTGGGCTATTCATAAACAATAGGTGTAATTTAAAGGGTACAGTAAAAGAAACGGGTAATCTTATAAACGACTCCGTTATACGATGGTTCTACTGTCGAAAACAAAGCTATAACAAGGTATTTTTAATGCATGTGTTTGTCGGACATGCGAAGATTCTTTACACCCTTCAAATTGTTTCTATAATAATGTTTTACCTCTCCCATGATTTCCCACTTTTCAGTGACGTATTTGTGGAGTGTTACAATCTGAAGTGTGACTTAGCGAAGAGGATCGTTCAGGGTTGATCGCGGGTAGTGTCGCAGCGGAAGTAGTGAACTCAGGTCAGAGTGAATGTAAATGACTGAGATTGATAATAGCATGCATACATTGGGTTTATATAGAAATACAAAGGAATGCGAAACGACCTAGACTAGCCATGTACTCTAAGGGGTACATTCCCTTATTGCAGCGAAATTTAAACCGTGCGGCGCGGGAATCAGTTTCAAACCTGTTCCCGCTCTTTTCACTTCAAATGCTTCTGCCTGCATCGGTCTTAGTCAGACGGTTGCTGTGTCGCTTCGACTCTTCTGACTCCTCGACTTCGTACTCGGTAGAGTCGGCTCCTGCAGCATACAGGAATGCCTTCTCATAAAGATATCGTAACATGGAGGAGCACTTTACGAACGAATTTTACAGGTCCGTGGATGAGGCACGGTGGTGCTCGCAGCGGAGTCATAGCCAAGAATCCATAGACGGCAGGCTATGCTTTAACAAAAGATGTAATTTAAAAAGTACAAAATCAGAACGGGTAATCTCCTAAACGACTCCGATATACGAAGGCTCTTTTATCGAAAACAAAGCTATAACGAGGTATTTAGTTATAACGAGCTATAACGGTGTTCGTAGAGCATCAATGTTTTCCTTCCCTTCAGATTGTTTCTGTTATTTTTTTCCGCCTCTCCCACGATTGCCCTCTCCCATAAACATGTCCACCCTTCCCGTTCTGCACTTTACAAACGAGTTCTGGCTGAGATAGTTACGGAATGACTGTTTCGACCCGTCTGGAAAATTGACCCCCACGCTGTCCGTAAGTACCCGGGCCAAGGGAAAAACCATAATACTAACCCTGAACTCTTAGGAAAAACGGTCAAATGTCCGTTATTCGGCAGGTCCGGGGAGAATTTTTTTATTCCGCCATTCCTGCGCCCACCTTGGAGGTGAGCGGATGCGATGAGCGGTTCTGCGCGCGCTGTTTCAAACATGGGATTTGCCGCCAAAATCAAAAGAATCAACTATCAGGCCGCGTCTGACACACTGACACACGCGGAACAGATTCTACGGTACTTAGGAGATTCGACATCGATACGAAAGGCGTTTGTTTACATCTGGTCAATAACGGGAGCTTGCAATCTACCATTCACATTTCATGTATTGCGTGTATGCAATGGCAGCAATTTTCTTCCAAAACAATAGCACAATAGCAGGCCAAATTCAGAAAGGATAGTCAGAGAGCGTGACAGAGACCAGCACCCTATACACCCTCTCCCCTTCCCCCCACCCCCCCGCCTAGCCTACCCTCCCAAACCAACTCCACCCGCCCCCTCTGCTTCTCCCTCCCACCACCAAGCCGCCTATGCCATTCCTGCCCAATGTTAACATCCATTGTTACCAACACCGATATGAGTAACATCCACTAGCTATGGCAATGCACGTGTTGGCTTTGAATTTCGGGGATATACAGATATCCTAGCTATATGTTGGCTCCACCAATGGTATCATCCATTAGCTCTTCACAGTACTGCCTCGTGACATCTGCCCATGTGTGAGGATGGAGGGAAAACGCAGAGGGGACATGGGACATGGGAAGAGACATGGATTGCAGGTGGAGGGAACAATCCAATCATGATGGGAATTCTCAAAAACCGCTCACTGGGGCAGCTAGCACCCACTAGCTTTCCACAGTGATCCGTGCAACATGTGACCCACGGGGTTTTTTGGGAATCCGCGCCAGTTAAAATCTTAGGTGAATTGGTCAAGAATGACATTCGACAGCTACCAGCTACAACATCATCACAACAATGCCTTGTGAACAACCGCACAGCACCGCTCCGCACTCACCATGTTGCATGGTCAATGCAGGCTTGGGTTCTGAGAGCATCCCAACCACCTTGGCTGGTGTTCCTGCCACCATGCTGTAAGCGTTGGGGTGGGGGAAAGAGGGAAAAGATGGAAAAAAAGCGGGAAGACGGGGGGGATGGCGACGGGGGGAAGAGGGGGGGGTGGTGGGGAAGGGGAAAAAATAGGGGAGAAAAGGGGGTCAAGAGGGAGAGGGTAAAAGGGTGAAGAGATTTGTGAGGATGCAGGGGCGAGATGGATCGAACAAAGACAAGTGAGAATGCTTGGGTTGTGGTCTGGCCCTGTATCAGCCATCCTTGCCTGACTGAAGCCATCCTATGGGAAGGGGAGGCATGTCTTTGAGCACGAGCGACCTTGCAGCGATCATGGATCCCTGGCCGACGCTGATGTTGCCCTCAGCTGTGGTGCTGTTGAGATTTGTACCTGTGGTGAGTATGCCCGTTAGGAGTATACCTGCGAGGAGGAACGTCCTTCAGCACAAGTGACCCAGCAGCGATCATGGATCCCTGCCCGATGCTGATGTTGCCCTCAGCTGTGGTGGTGTTGGGTGGGTACGTGTTGTCAGCAAGCATACCTGTGGGGAGGCACGTCCTTCAAAACAAGCGACCCAGCAGCGATCATGGAGCCTTGCCCGATGATGATGTTGCCATCAGTTGTGTGGTGCTGTGGAGTCCTGTACCTGTAATGAGTATACTTGACGGAGCATACCTGTGAGGAGGAACATCCTTCAACACAAGGGAACCAGCAGCGATCATGGAGCCCTGCCCGATTCTGATGTTGCCCAGCACAGTGATGAAGGGTTGAGTCGAGGCATTGCAGCGACGAGCATACCTGTGGGACGGAACGTCTTTGAGCATGAGCGACCCAGCAGCAATCATAGAGCCCTGCCCGCCTGATGCTGATGCTGCCCTGAGCTATGGTGCCGGGGGGACCTGTACCTGTAGAGATTATACCTGAAGGAGCATACCTGTGCGGCGGCACATCTTTGAGAACAAGGGACCCAGCAGCAATCATGGAGCCCTGCCCGATGCTGTTACCCAGCACAGTGGTGTGTCAGCCAAGCCGAGGAAGTGCAGTGACCAGCATACCTGTGGGGAGGAACGTCTTTGAGCACCAGTGACCCAGCAGCGATCATGGAGCCCTGCCCGATGCTGATATTGCCCAGCACGGTCGCCCCTGCTCCGATCAGCACGTCCTCCTGGACTTTAGGATGCCTGTCGCCCGCCTCTTTGCCCGTGCCTCCTAGGGTCACGCCCTGACAGGAAGCGGAAAGCACGGTGGATGGGATGGGAGGGTGGTTGAGGGAGGGTGGTTGAGGGAGGGTGGTTGAGGGAGGGGAGAACGAGCATGAGAGGGAGGACAGTCGCCCCTGCTCCAATCAGCACGCCCTCCTGGACCTTGGGATGCCCGTCACCCGCTTCTTTCCCCGTGCCTCCAAGGGTGACGCCCTGGCAGGTCACAGGGGAAGGACAGGGTGGGTGGTGCAGGGAGGAAAAGCATGAGGGTCAGAACCAACGCCCCTGCTCCAATCAGAACATCCTCCTGCACCTTGGGGTGCCTGTCTCCCGCCTCCTTGCCCGTGCCTCCTAGGGTCACTCCCTGGTGGGTGGGTGGTGGATGGAGACAGACGTTCAGTAATACCACTCTCTAACCTGCAATGATGGAAACCTATCCTATACCCGACAAAATTAGCTAAGAGACACATACTCTCCCTGCCTCTCTCTCACCTGCAGCAGCGACACCCTATTCCCCACGATCGTCGCCTCGCCAATAACCACACCCGTGCCATGGTTCATTGAAACGCCTCTTTGCTACTGCTGACTAGCACACACACCTGCACCGCACTCAACCACTCTATACCTCTCACCCGCAGAAGCGACACCCTATCCCCAACAACTGCCGTCTCGCCAATTACCACGCCCGTGCCATGATCCATCAGAATGCCTCTCTGATGCAGTTTAGCACACCTGCACAGCACTCAACCTCTCAACCTCTCACCTGCAGCAACGACACCCTATCCCCCACAATCGCTGTCTCGCGAATCACCACGCCCGTGCCATGGTCCATCAGAATGCCTCTCTGCTGCTTTGCATGCACACGCCTGGACCACACTTTGCCTCTACACACTCTACTGAACTCCCTCCTTCTCTCACCTGTAAAAGAGACACCCTATCCCCAACAATTGCTGTCTCCCCAATCACCACGCCCGTGCCATGATCCATCAGAATGCCAATCTGCTGCTGTTTAGCACACCTGCACCTGCAGCAGCGACACCCTATCCCCCACGATCGCCGTCTCGCCAATCACCACGCCCGCGCCATGATCCATCAGAATGCCCCTGCTGCTGTTGAATAGAGCACACATGCACCCCACTCAACCACTCTCAACCTCTCACCTGCAGCAGCGACACCCTATCCCCCACGATCGCCGTCTCGCCAATCACCACCCCCGTGCCATGGTCCATGAGAATGCCTCTCCCAATGCGCGCTGCTGGGTGAATGTCCACTGCAAACACCTGAGGGAGTAGATGGGGTGTTGGGGGGAAGGGGGGTATTGGGTGTGCGTGCGCTCCAATCACCACCCCCGTGCCATGGTCCATCAGAATGCCTCTCCCGATGCGCGCTGCTGGGTGAATGTCCACTGCAAACACCTGAGAGAGGGTTAGGGGGGTATTGGGATGTGGGGGGAGGGGCTGGGATGCGATTACACTGATGCAAGTCTCATGGTCCATCAGAATGCCCCTGCCAATGCGCGCTGCTGGATGGATGTCCACTGCAAACACCTGGGGGAAAGAGTGTTGGGTGTTAGGGTGTTGGGGTGGAAGGGAGGCAGGTGATGGGAGGGTGCGAGCTGCAATCACCACCCCCGTGCCATGATCCATGAGAATGCCCCTGCCGATGCGCGCTGCTGGGTGGATGTCCACTGCAAACACCTGGGGGGTTTAGGGGGGTATTGGGATGTGGGGCGAGGGGTGTTAGGGTTAAGAGGGTTGGGACTGCAGTAAGCCCCACATACCTCGGAGATGCGCGACTGCTCTGCAAGGCACGCACCAGAATGCGCTGGCCTCGGTTCCACAAGGCATGGGAGTTGCGACAAGAACGGTGCGAAATTCCTCAGGAGGTCAGAATATCAGGAATTTGTTTGTACCTCGGAGATGCGCGACTGCAGGGCGAGTGCCAGGATGCGCTGGCCTCGGTTCCACAAGGCGTGGGCGATGCGGTACGACTGCAGAGCGTGATAACCCTGGAGGGGGAGAAGGGGTGGGGAGGGGAGGGGGGTGGAAATGTCAGGGGCACACGAGACAGACAGTTGAACTGAGTCAATTGTTTACCACCAACTTCCACCGTTCCACAGCACACCCTGCACTGCACCTCCCAGCACCAATCTCATTTCTGTGCATGCTGCAGTATCCCACCCAGTAGTCGAGGAGGGCCTTGGAGAGTGCCGCGTACACATTCCATAGAACCTCGCTGCACCCGTGCAGAACCGTGCAGTACCACCACTCACCTTGTAATAGAGCAGGGCGTTGGAGTAGGAGCGGCAGGAGGGATCTCTGTCCCGCACAGCCTGGCCAATCAGAGCAGACATGGGACGGGATGAAGTGGCATAAAATGAAATGGGATGGGGTAAAATGGATTTGGTTGGGATGAAATATGGCATGGGACAAGGCAAAAGAACAGGCATGACATGGTAGGAATATAGGTCCACACAAAAGGAACTGCACAAGCACCAATGGCTCATCCACCAGCAACTAACTATCTGCACTCCTTAGTACATATTTGCACTATTGTTTTCAACAGTCATGGAGAATTTACTGGTAACACAAGCTCTCATTTGTAAAACAACTAGTATGAGGAGAGATTCTTCAGTGTTGCTTGTTTAGCAAAACGGTAGCATGTCAGCACTCACGACAGCTCCATATTTCAATCTCTCTTGTTCAGTTCCAAAGAAGCCAGCAACCCTTCGTTACAGCGATTGTATCATGCGTTCCGTGAGGGTGTCTGACTGTGAATGGTTCCTGCTGTTCAGCCGGTGCATGGTCTCCAACTCTGCCAACAGCTTGTCGAACACTTCTTTGAATTCTAGCAAGATATGTGTACCGAAACGCGATGAAGTCACCGAGTTTCAAGATCGTTCAAAATGATGATGGCAGAGTTGGAAATCATGCACCGGCTGACCACCACGTACCATCCATAGTGAGCACAACCTCAGGGAACGCATGATGCAAACAGTATGCTGAGAGTTGCAAGCTGTATGGGAAACAGAACAAGAGAGGTTGAGATTACAGCTGTCGTGGATGTTGACGGGCTACCGTTTTGTTAAACAGGCAGCTCTGAAGAACCTTTCCTCGTACTACTTGTTTTACGGACGAAAGCTTGTGTTACCAGTAGAATATTCATGGGTGCAAGCAGGAGTTTATCAGCTGGGTCGCCAACAGCAGCAGGTACTTATCTGCAACCCCATACATAGGAGCCTTTCACCAGCCCCACATCCATACACACACACATTCTGCACGTCCGCACTAATAGCAGCTCTGATATTGGGCAGCATGAGCACGGAGTCAAACACGTCCATCAGCTGCGTTGCCAGCAGCGTTACAGTCAGGCAGCACATGCCACACACATCCCACCCCCCACGTGCCACACACCATACTCCTCATACCCGCATGCACCATACCTGCACGTCCGCCCTGATAGCCGCTCTGATATTGGGCAGCATGAGCACGGAGTCAAACACGTCCATCAGCTGCGTCGCCAGCAGAGTCACGTTCTGCAGGCGGTTGGCGAGCACGAATCCCAACGATCGCTCAAAGCAGGAATGCGCGAGGATGGACGCGTACAGAAAACTGCTCAAAATCGGCTCCCTCTCAGCCTGGGGTTCGACAATGAAGGGGGGACGGGAATTGGTGGAGAGGGAGAGGGAGGGAGAGAGGAAGGCATGGGGGGAAAGACAGCAGCGTCACGTTCTGCAGGCGGTTGGCGAGAACGAAGCCAAGGGAGTGCTCGAAGCACGAGTGGGCGAGGATAGATGCATAGAGGAAACTGCTGAGGATAGGCTCTCGCTCCGCCTGCACAAATAAGGAGAGATTGGGAAAGAAGGGGAGGTTGGGAAGAACGGGTGTGGGTGGGGCAGCAGCGTCACGCTCTGCAGGCGGTTGGCCAGCCCGAACCTCAGGGAGCGCTCGAAGCACGAGTGGGCGAGGATGGACGCGTAGAGGAAACTGCTGAGGATGAACTCGAGAAAACAAGCATCACGTTTTCTCACACCCTCCACCCTCACTTTCGAGTCAAACAACTGGGATAAGCCATTGGTCCCCTCACACCCTCCCACCCTCACTCTCTCCCCTCCTCCCACCATCCCTCCTTTCCCCATCCGCGCACCTCCAGCCGGGCTTCCGCGCGGATGGCCGCCCAGACGCGGTCAATCATAGAGCAGTTCGCGCTCTCTTTGCTCCCCCTTCCCCCTTCCCTCCCCCCACCTCTCCCCACATCTATTCCCCCAATCCGCGCACCTCGAGCCTGGCTTCCGCGCGGATGGCCGCCCACACAGGGTCGCTCATCGAGTGGCTGGTCTGCTCACGCGTCGTCTCTCTTTTCCCCCACTTCCCCTGTCCCTCCCCTCACCTCTTCCCCCTCTTTGCGCACCTCGAGTCTCGCCTCCGCGCGGATGGCCGCCCAGATGGGGTCGCTCATCGAGTAGTCCGCGCTCTCTTTGCTCCCCCTCCCCCCCCCCCCCCCGCCCCCCCCACCTCTCCCCCCATCTATTCCCCCAATCCGCGCACCTCAAGCCTGGCTTCCGCGCGGATGGCCGCCCAGATGGGGTCGCTCATCGAGTAGTCCGCCCCTCCGCGCGCCCCCGCATCCATCCCCATCGCCCCCGCCATCGCCCCCATGCCTCCCCCCATCGCTCCCCCCATCGCCCCCCCCATCGTTCCCCCCATCCCTCCCCCCATTCCTCCCCCCATCCCGGCGCTCCCCGTCTCCGCCCCCTCCCTCCCCGCCGCGCGAATCCCCCTTCCGCCCACGCCGTTTGGACCTGCGCTCGCTGGAGCGGGCCACGTGGCGGGCCGTGATACGTCGTCCCAGGGGAGGGGGTAAGAAGGGGGAGCTTGGCTGCGGCTGTGCATGTAAGCGGGGAACATCCACGCGGGGTCAACATCTACACGACTATTACTCGTATTATTATTGCCACTGAAGTTATTACTATTACTACTACTATTATTGCTAGTGTTGGTGTACGCGCCGCGAACTCCTGTCCATTCGTCGTCCATCGACGGTTGTGAGGGTGGTGCGGAGGAGGGGGAGTTGGGGGAAGGGGGTTGTTTGTTGGACGGAAGCGGCTTTCGCAGAGGAATGGACGAAGGGTCGTCTGATGGGGGACTGTTGTCGGGCATTTTGGTCGCACGAACTCGCTGGTGCTGTCGTCGTCGCAAGGCTCGTCGCACGGGTTGTCGCACGGGTTGTCGCACGATGCGAAGGCTGTTCGATGGGGTGATCAGCCCGACCGTCTCGAGCGATACGTTGTGGTTCGGTACGGTATGGTGTGGTGAAGTGCATAGCGACGCAGTGCGGTTCGACACGGTGAAGTCCCTAGCGCGAGCTGTATGGAGAGGCGACGCACGGAGCGACATGCTGCCGAGGGCCGCCATGATGCCACGTGGCAAATACGAACCTTATCGCGCTGACGTGGCGAGTCACACGACAAAGAGCAATGAAGAATCACAAAACGCGACGAATAAAACGAGAGCTGATATTCCGGGCTTTGGCCTGTTTCATGTTCTATGCAACAAATAGAAGCGGGAAAAAATAACCTCTCTGGCCAAAACTTAGGTCCCTAGGTCACGACGAATTTACTATACGTATGGTCCTGCTGGTTCCTAAGAAACTGCCGTGCTGAATGCTGCTAGCTTTCATACTGCTGGCGGCGAGGCGAGGCGATTATCCATTTTGTCAGCGAAATCCCATTTCGATCGGGACAAAGATCATGTCAGATCCATGAACCGCATTGCACCGCACCGTCGACTAAGGGAAGTCTTGTTTGACCGAAGGAAACCCTAAGCTGAAACCAACAACCAATATTCCCGATAACACGCACTCGCTGGAACACCAAACGAGACAGCAGGGCTTCTAACATTGGAAACAATTTCTCAAAGGTAAAGACTATGTTCCTTACAAATTCAAGTTCCATCAGCTCATTTACAGGGAACAAACCAATTGACACATTCAACGCAACAATGCTTCAGCATATTTACCAAGCATCAAAGTTCCCATAAGAGCTTGGCTGAGCCTTCTTCACAGGAACAGGGGGTGGGCCCATAGCTTTCGAACCAGACCCACTTGCTTCACTGCTTTTTGCCACTGCTGGGTTCAAGTACTTGCCGATTCCTTGCGACTTGAAGACTTTCGGTGCCTCTTTTCCCGCCAAGGGGTTGCTGTACCAGCTACCCACAGCATCCTGAGAACATGGAATGGGTGTAGCAGGGATAGAGAGAGGGGCAGACAGGGGTAACGCAGGGAGAGAAAGGTAGTGAAAAGGACAGGTCGATGTTTAATTGGGGGTGTGTTTCGGTGCTAAAACGAGAACAGCGGTAGTGGGACGGCTCAAAACTGCACATGTTTTGGGCTTGGATTAGCAGAAGCTAACCGAGAACCATGTTCAGAGGAGTCTATTTTCAAGGCACCTCAAAAATAGACTCAAAACTCCACATATTTTGAAGTTGGATTACGGTAGCAGAGGCCAACTGAGAACCATGTTCAGAGGACGAACTTGTGACAAATTGCTTTCATGCTTCCTTGATGCCTCCACTATTACACTCCCTCCTTTGTAATCTGACCACCACACAAATACATGGACACACATATGCCCTCACATGCGCAATACACACACACTAACCCTCCCTGACACTTACGCTCACAGTCACACACCCCCTCACACACATTTGAGCGCATAGAGACACACCCCTCGCTCACACAGCAGAAGCACACTGAAACACGCCAACATACCATCTCCTGTTGAGACGTCCCAAAAGACACAGACACACGCCAACATACCAGTTCCTGTTGCTCCTCCCACGTCAGCTCCTTGCCCTTCCTCTCCTTCTCCTCCTTCTCCCTTGCTGCTGCCTCCTCCGCCTCTGCCTCTGCATCCACCTCCGTATACGGGTTCACAAACACTGTGATGCTCTCGATCGTGATGGGTTTCTGCAAATACACAAGGAGAGACGCGGGGAATAGAACACCATGCACGCAAAAGGGTTAGACATTATACATTCAACCCCTTCCCCCTCCGCCTCTGCCTCTGCATCCACCTCTGTGTACGGGTTTACAAACACTGTGATGCTCTCTATGGTGATGGGTTTCTGGGTGCACACGCAGGGAGACACGGGGATAGAGCATCACACAAACAGCAGGGTTAGACAGAGAACTTTCAACCCCCTGCCTGTTCCGCCTCTGCCTCTGCATCCACCTCTGTGTACGGATTCACGAACACTGTGATGCTCTCGATCGTGATGGGTTTCTGCGGACCACACAGGGGGAGACACACGGACAGAACGGCACGCAGGCATTGAGGTTATACACACACAGCCTCTCTCTTCCCTGCCTGCTGCCCCCCACCACTCGCCCAAACATCAAGTGCTTGTAGTTCAGGATCGGCGCCAATTTGAAGAGCCGCTGGAGTGAGGGCCGCTGTTGGCCATGGAGAGGACAGCACGCCCCCCTCTCTCTCTCTCTCTACCAACAATGCGGTGCAGTGTGGTGGGGTGAGGTGAGGCGAGTGAGGGACGCTGTTGGCCATGGACAGGACAGCACGCACCCCTCTCTCTACCACAATGAGGCAGGCTGCTACACTCACCAGAGGCCTGTCTTTATCGTCCACGGCACTCCTCTCCATGGCAGTCAGGGTCTCCATTCCCCCCACCACACGCCCAAAAACAGAATGCTTGTAATTCAGGTGAGGCGCGGACTTGAAGAGCACAAAGAACTGCGAGCCGTTGGAGTGAGGGCCGCTGTTGGCCATGGAGAGCACAGCAGTCCCCTTCTACCAGCAGTGTAGTGCAGCGTGGTGGGGTGCGGTGAGGCGTGAGGGGGCCGCTGTTGGCCATGGACAGCACCGCACTCCCCTCTCTACCAGTAGCTTACTCACTGTAGATAAAAAGACTGAAACACTCACCAGAGGCCTGTCTTTATCGTCCACGGCACTCCTCTCCATTGCCGCCAATGTGTCCATGCCTCCCACCACGCGGCCAAACACCGAATGCTTGTAATTCAGATGAGGGGCCGACTTAAAGAGCACAAAGAAATGCGAGCCGTTGGAGTGAGGGCCGCTGTTGGCCATGGAGAGCACGCCCCTCTCACTGTGGCCCAGCCGCGAGTCAAACTCGTCCTGAAACGCCTTGCCCCACGCCGACTGGCCTCCTTTTCCTGTTCCCGTGGGGTCTCCTCCCTGAATCATGAAATTTCTGCGAAAAAAGAGGGGGTTTAAGGGGGTGTGGATGGGGGGTGGAGGGGGGGAGAGGGAGAGGGGGAGTGGAGTGCGTTAACAGGACAGGAAAGGCAGGGTAAGGGAGCAGCAGGACTGGTGGGAGTGAGGAAGGGCCGCTGTTGGCCATGGAGAGCACGCCCCTCTCGCTGTGGCCCAGCCGCGAGTCAAACTCGTCCTGAAACGCCTTGCCCCACGCCGACTGCCCTCCTTTGTTCGTGCCGGTGGGGTCCCCGCCTTGAATCATGAAATTGCTGCAAAAAAAGAGGGGGTTTTAAGGGGGGGGGGGGGGGGGGGGGGGGGGGGGGGGGGGGGGGGGGGGGGGGGGGAGAGGGAGTGGGGGAGTGGAGCGCCTTAAGAGGGCAGGAAAGGCAGGGCAAAGGAGCAGCAGGACTGGTGGGAGTGGGGAAGGGCCGCTGTTGGCCATTGAGAGCACTCCCCTCTCGCTGTGGCCCAGCCAGTCATACACAGTTCGAGTAAACGACCGACATGTGCTGGCATGTACCGGATGCATGCATTTGAATGGAGCGAGCAGGCAGCACATACCGGATGCAGCGGTGGAAGATGGTGCCGTTGTAGTACCCTCTCTCAGCAAGCGTCAAGAAGTTTTTACATGCCCGTTGCTGCACTGCATACTGTCAAATACATGGAATGAAAACGCAGCACGTACCAAATGCAGCGGTGGAAGATGGTGCCATTATAATAGCCCCTCTTGGCAAGCGTCAAGAAGTTCTCTCTCGCACGTCCTCGGGACAATATCACAGTGAAGCTCCACGTTCAGATCGCCCGCATGAGATGGGAGAAAGCATGTGAAACGTACCGAATGCACCGATGAAAGATTGTGCCGTTGTAGTACCCCCTCTCCGCGAGCGTCAAAAAGTTTTCGCACGTCCTCGGAACAATATCGCAGTGCAGCTCCACATTCAAGTCCCCCGCACTCGTGTGCACCCTGCAGTACCCCTTCTTCTTCGGCCTCTTCTCCACCCTCACCATCTCATACTCCGTCCTCGTCACCGGCTCATACACAGTCGACGTAAACGACCTTGTAGTCGCTCCCGAGGTATACGCACTCCTGACCAGCTTCGTGTTCTCTTTGATCGGCACTCTCTGCCCTGCTGCGTGCGCGGCTGCGCGCGCGTGGGCTTTCTTCTCGTCTGTCGCCTTGGCAGCAGCAGCGCTGCGACCGGAGAGAGCAGCACTCGCCGCATCGACGATGCTCATAGGGGGAGGGGCAACAGTTCCTGCTCCTCCTCCTCCTGCTGCTCCTGCTGATCCTGCTGTACCAGCAGCACCAGCGGTGGTTGCTGCGCTGCCAGCGATTGAAGGGGCCTCCATTTCTCTCTGCCTCTGCAGGATCTGCTGCTGCACGTGCATCTTCTGCTGCTCCGCCTCCCGCTCCTCTCCTCTCTTCCTCTTCCCCTTCTCCCCAGCTCCCTTTCCTTTACCGCTAGCTCCCACTCCTCCCGCTCCTCCTCCCGCTCCTTCTCCCCCTCCTTGTTCGCTGCCCTCTCCCCCTTCCTGTGCTGCAAGAGCTTCTCTAGCAGCAGCGGCGGCAGCAGCAGCAACCTCCTCTGCTTTCCTTGCCTCCAGCGCTGCTGCTGCCGCTGCTGCTTCCTTCCTTGCCTTGCTTCCTCCCCCGCCCAGCAGCAATTGGGATGCACCCTGGTAGCAGTAGAATAGAGGGATTTTATACGCAAGATAGATAAGTATCCAATGGAAGGTGTAAGATAATAGGGGATACTGCAACAGTGAGATAAACAACCCAGAATAACTCCAGACAGGCCTACCCCAGATAAGTTCGCCCCAGATGAGCAAACCTCAAATGAGCCTACCCCAGATGAGCCTACCCCAAATGAGCCTACCCCAGATGAGCCTACCCCAGATGAACCTACCCCAGATGAGCCTACCCCAGATGAGCCTAGCCCAGATGACCCTACCCCAGATGTGAGCCTACCCCAGCACCAGATGAGCCTACCTTGGATGAACCGACTCCGGCCTCCTCTCCGTCGTTCTTGGGAAGGGCTGCCAGAACACGCTGAATGCTCTCTGATACAGCTGCGTTCACCCCTGACGCTGCTGCACTGCCTTCGCCTGGCAGGGATGGAAAGGGAAGGAATAAGCAGCGTTGGCAGACAAGAAGGAGTTGGCATAAAGGGCATGCGGAATATGCCGATCTACTTAGCTAGCTGATTGCTGTTCCACGGCTCACCTTCCTTGGGAGCTGCGAGGTTCTGCTTCACGTGGTCAAACTCAGTGAGCACATTGGCGTCCAGGTTGTTTGGGTCCTGCAGTGCAGGTGTGAGGGGGCGGATGGAAGGAAACCGGCACACGGTGAAACGGGATTGTAAGAACTGGGTCCAACAATGACCGGTCATTGGAGTGGAGCTGCGAGGTTCTGCTTGACGTGGTCAAACTCAGTGAGTACATTGGCGTCCAAATTGTTGGGGTCCTGAGGGGGGGGAGGTGGCGGATGGAAGGAAACAGCACGCGGTGAGAAGGGATTGTAAGAACTGGGTCCAACAATGACCGGTCATTGGAGTGGAGCTGCGAGGTTCTGCTTGACGTGGTCAAACTCTGTGAGCACTTTGGCGTCCAGATTGTTAGGGTCCTGCGGGGGGGAGGTGGCGGATGGAAGGAAACAGCACGCGGTGAGAAGGGATTGTAAGAACTGGGTCCAACAATGACCGGTCATTGGAGTGGAGCTGCGAGGTTCTGCTTGACGTGGTCAAACTCTGTGAGCACTTTGGCACCCAAATTGTTGGGGTCCTGAGAAGAAGGAGGGGGGGGATGGAAGGAACAGTACAGGGCGAAGACGATCACAAAGAGAGAGGGGAAGGAAGAGAAAGAGAGATTCTTTGGAGCTGCGAGGTTCCGCTTGACGTGGTCGAACTCTCTGAGCACATTGGCGTCCAGATTGTCGGGGTCCTGGGCAGGGCAGGGGAGATGGAAGGAAACAGGCACAGAGAGCAAAGAGGGTGGACAATGGGGGGGAGAGGGGACGGGAAGGACTCGGTCATTGCAGCTGCAAGGTTGTCGGTGCTTGATGGCGTGGTTTGATGAGTCGACTCAAAACACAAGACAAGAGGGCCTCGGTTATTGGAGGTGAAAGCCTGTGCTTGACGTGACGTCGTCAAACCCAGAGAGCACAGGCATGGCATCACAGCAGTGACGACGTTACATGCGCACACAGTAATGTGATGACACATCACATGGATGCCTGGAAACCATGACGTCACATGCCTGAATAGTGGTGACGTCACATGCCTGATTAGTGCTGACGTCACATGCTTCAATAGTGCTGACGTCACATGCCTGAATAGTGCTGACGTCACATGCCTGAATGGTGATGATGTCAGCACGTGTGAAGGGCTCATCCGTCAGTAGCTCCTTCCAGTTCTTGGGCTTCACGTTCAGCTCCTTGATTGCCTGGTGTTATCAGGAGAGTGTGAAAGAGCAGGGTAAGACACAGGCACTATATTTGTGAGCAGCTCCTTCCAGTTCGTGGGCTTCACGTTCAACTCCTTGATGGCCTGGTGTGGGTGGCGGGTGGGTGGGAGTGGGGGGGGGAGGGTGTAGAAGAAGAGGATGAGAAACATCAGGAGTCACACCTGTGAGCAAATCCTTCTAGTTCTTGGGCTTTACGTTCAGCTCCTTGATGGCCTGGTGTAGGTCGAGGGCGGGGGGGTTCAAGGGGGTTGATCTCAAGGGTGGGGAGTGAGATTCGCGCCGTATCTGTGAGCAGCTCCTTCCCGTTCTTGGGCTTCACGTTCAACTCCTTGATGGCCTGGGGTGGGCGCGGGGTGGGGGGGAAAGAGGCAATATGGGAGTGTGGGGGGGGGATGTAGTAGAGGGGGATGAGAGACGCATCTGGAGTCACATCCGTGAGCAATTCCTCCTGTTCTTGGGCTTCACGTTCAGCTCCTTGATTGCCTGGGGTGGGCGTGGAGGGGAGGAGAGGGGGATGTTTGGAGGAGGATGAGAGATGCATCTGGCGTCACATCTGTGAGCAGTTCCTCCAGTTCACAACGCATTGTAGTGTAGCACAAAGCGTTGACGCCTACTGTCTTTCTCTTTGCATTGATAGTTCCTCCTGTTTGCAAAATCTCTCTCCTGATTCTCCCCTTTTTCCTTCAATCTAACCATCTCTCTTTCACCTCGTAGCAGAACACGTTGCCGGTTGTCTTGACAGCCACGATGTGGGTAAACTCGGTAAACACCTTCTTCAAAACCGGGCAGTGATACTCGCCTGGAGGCGACAAGTGCAAATTGAGTGTAGAGGGAAACATATTCAAATACATACATAAAAAGGTGAGAAACTTTAAGGTGGGAAGTGTAACGATCATGTGCAATAAGCCAATGCATGGCAAGAAGGAAGGACTACAGGGCGATACAACCTAGCCGAAATCTTAACAAACTGCACACAGGACAGAGAGTTCTCACAAGAACGAAGACAAGATAGGACAGCAATAACAACCTGGTTACAATGAAACGGACCGTCAGCGTTCTTGTGGAAGTGAAGCTTGATCAGGTCCTTGAGAGCAAGGGGCTTGCCGGTAACCGGGTTATGCTTGAACTTCTGAATGTACGGCACGATGTTACTGTGCAGACCATGTGAGAAAGGAGTGAGAGAGGGGGTGGGAGAGTAGGAGCAGCAGGCTAGAGAAATAGGAGTGAGAGAGGGGTTGGGAGAGTAGGAGCAGCAGGCTAGAGAAATTATTGCGCGAATCCAACGACTCAAGACGAGTTATTCCAATCAGGGGCACTGTTTGCACAGTGTGCATTAGAACCACAGTGGTGTGGATATCATTCATAATTTGTACCAGGGCTTTCAGACGATTTTGACAGTGTTTTCAGGATTTGCAGAAGGGAAACGAAGCTTACACGATATCGTAGACGTGACCCTCTGGGGAGCAGACTGGATCCTCGAACGGGGTAAAGGAGACCCTGCAAACGAGGATAACGGGAACGGCACGGCAGCATTGGTGAGGGGGAAAGGGAAGGTGACGAGAAAGGGAAACAATGGGAAGGTTAAGGGAAAGCGAAAGGGGAAGGAAAAGGGGAATGAAAAGCGGAAGGGAAGAGGAAGGGCAACAACGGGAAGGTAAAGGCGAAGTGGAAGGGGAAGGAATAGGGAAAGGAAAAGGGGGGAAGGGAAGAGGAAGGGAACGGGAAACGGGAAGGGGAGGGGAGAGGGGAACCAGGGGAAGGGGGAGAAAGGGAAAAAAAGGAAAAGAGCTCCTAACCATTACTTTCAGGCCGCAAAGGCCAGTCAAGTATGCACAGAAATTGAAGGGTAGGCGGCGGGACGGAAGGAAAAGGTGAACTGGAAGGGTTGGGGAAGCGGATGAGGAGGGAGAAGCGGAAGTGAAAACGGAAGGGTCAGTCACGTACGCACAGCAGTACTAGAAGGGGAGGCGGCGGAAGAAAAGGTGAAGGGGAAGGCGAAAGGGGAAGGGGAAGGCGAAAGGGGAAGGGGAAGGGAAGCGGACGATGAGGGAGAAGCGGAAGCGAAAGTGGAAGCGAAAGTGGAAGGGTCAGTCACGTACGCACAGCAGTAGAAGGGGAGGCGGCGGAAGGGCGTGCGCGAGTCTTTGGCCTTGGCTCCCCCCCACTCCGACGCCCACTCCGTTGTTGTGATAAACATGCGATCCTTGCTGTGCTGCTTTTTACCCATCTTGGCCGACTATGAATGGTATCGGATGTGCGTGTAACGGAGACGAGGATGACACGAAGAGGAACCAGCGATGCGGTTGGACGCCTAAAGACGAGCCGTCTGAAACGGGTCAAGTACCAGCGGATTAATATAGTGAGGAGACAGCTCGCTGGCTGCGTTTTCTTGTCGAAAAAGTGCAGTCGCAGCCAAGAACGCTAAACCGAAGCAGCAGCCCTTATAAGGCTGATTGCTGAAGATCATTTGTAATTTCGTGTTTCAGAAGGTTGTTCTCATCTCCGCATACGTGTAACGCGGAATTCGCTTGCTGATATACTCAAACAGCGAATCACGGCCTAACGAATCTTGTCGCGAGAGCTTCCCGCCAAACCACTTGGCCGCAAAGGCACGCAATCGTTATTCGTAAAGCTGCTGCACCTCGCAAATGCAAGCTGGAGTGGAGACGACGGAGTGCGCCCTTGGATTTTGATCGGTGTTTGTTCCGCGATGATGATTACCCTTCGCAAGGAGAGCCTGGTTACAGAGATTTTTCCAAGCCAATCAGTACTCGTTCGTCAGCCAGGACGCCAATCGCAACTCCCCTAGGGCTGGTCAGAGTTCTTGGATCAATTGGTCTGGTCTTGGTTCAACGATCGTCAGCCAGGTCTGGATACCCGATGATCCCTTGGGAGAGCCAGGTCCGGATATCGGGATCTTCGGTTGGAGGATCTCAGAAGCCGGCAGGGCCAGTTTTTCCTGGTTTCTGTCCCAATGGGTTCAATTTGTTTCAGATGGTTTTATCTGGTTGCATATGGTTTCATCTCGGTTCAGTTCTACAAGGCTGGTCTCGGATTCAGAGTGAAGCCCTTCAGCCATAATTTTGCTCCAGAAATTTCCCGCCAGGCTTTAGGCTCCCACCCCACCTTCTCACAGACATCCATTCCCTATTTCCATGATAAGCTGAGTGCAGTGCAGAAATCCCTGGCATATCTTGCGCTGGTGGACTATTTCTTCCGCTGTGTCGCGCACCAATCTTCAGCATTTCTTTTCGTTTATCGTAGGTCCTCCTTCTAAAACATTATCTATATATTTTCTTGTTTTTGTACAGGGATTCGGCTCCATGCTTCTCAATGAGGACCTTCCTAATTTTCCGAATCCGTTTGACAACGCGGGGGACTATTCCGCGGGCTTCGATGTAAAGACCCTTAAGGAGCAGTTGCTATGCCACGTCATGGGAAGCATCCGAGAAAAGACGGATTGGATGAGGAAGGTCATGGACGATGTGATTGTAGCGAAGTGGAAAGAGGAGCTGATGAATCCCGTCCAACCAGCAAAAGCGTCTTTTGTGAGGGGAGAACGGGACGTGTCGCTTGAAGATCTTGCCAGCGTGATTTCATTTTTGAGGGACAATGGCAAGGGGACTGTCAAGGTGAGATCGTTTGTTATCGCATGACTCTTCCTAACCCCCGTGTCTCCCTTCAATACCATCTTCCATTTCGTTCACATTTTGTCTGTTTTTATCGAATGTTTTAACTTGCTTACCTTGCTGACCCTATTCGCATGCATTTTCCTGATTCCTCTCAGGTGGACTCTGATATAGTCGACTATGCCATCAAGGAGCTTCGCTGGCAGGCCACCACTCACCACCCCTCCTCTCCGGCCATGCCAGTCATGCCAAGCGCAGTGGACGGCGTCTACCTCATTCCGTCGGCCTCCTTCCCGCCTGACATTCTCCAGCCGTTTCTGCAAGGCGTGCATCGCCTAGAGTCCGTTCCAAAGGATCAGATTGACTACCATCCAGGGTCGAACGAGCAGGTTATTGACTTGGTCCATCCGTCACTCCACTGCCTGGTGTACGGCCGAACCAGAGTCATTACCCAGCCTGACTACACCACTCTGGATATCCTGCCGTGGGACCAGATGGTCAGTGAGTTAGGCTCGGTTGTAGACGCTGGTGAACTTGCAGATTTAACAGCGGATTCGGAGGAGGGAAGTGAGGCTCGGAGGGATTTGGTGGAAGACGAGTTTTTTTCAGAAAAATTTCAGTGGCTGCCGGCAGAGATTGATGTTTCTGCGGACGGGCAGGGTGCAAAGTTCAGGTCATACATCAACAATCTGCATCCGCTGGTGTTCGCAGAGACTTATCGAAGCCTGGAGAAGATATTTGCGTTGGCGTTCGTGCCATTGTTCAATAAGGTGCTGACAGACTCTGCCAACCCACGACCTCTGCGAATCACTTCCGACCCAGTCAGGTATTGCCTCGTTCATAACATGTTTGTCATGCTCTGGTATTGCCATTTCATAAGTGACGACACTGCAGGCCTGATTTAGGAAACATCCAACACATGTCCTCAGAGCCTGAGAACCAAAGCTTCCTAAGTCCCAGCCGCCTAACAACACATGTGCTCGGTCCTTTTTTCCTCTGACCTACTGCAGCTGGTATGACTCAAGTGATGACGAAGACTACGAAGACCAGGACCCCATTCAGCCAGAGGTTCCAGACTTCTCACCACCCCCAGAACCACGCGAGGAGCGAGACGTGACGCTGCAGGGCAGGCGTCTGCAGGTGATAGTGAAGATTGCTTCCATCCGCCTCACCCCGGATCAGCCGAAGTACCCTGGAGGCACGTGGCATGTGGAGGGCATGAGGAACGAGAGCATTGTGGTGAGTCATTGCCTCCTTTCATCTGTACTTGCTAGCTTTCCCTTGTTATGGTTCCGTGAATGTTTCCTCCAGGTTGCCTAATCTCATGGTCAACCCATCACTCTCACAGGCCACTGGCATCTATTACTATGACATTGAGAACATCTCGGAGTCGCGCCTGAAGTTCCGACACACAGTCATGGAGCCAGAGTATGAGCAAGGCGACCGAAGGGGAGTCCAAGTGATCTATGGGCTTGTGGCTGATGGCCCACTCGTCCAGCCCCTAGGCTCGGTCCAAACCTCCACGCCAGGCCTGTGCCTGGCGTTCCCAAACCACTACCATCACTGTGTGGCTCCCTTTGAGCTTGCCGACAAATCCAAGCCTGGGCATCGCAAGATTCTTGTGTTTTTCCTCGTTGACCCCAAAACACGAATTGTGTCGACAGCACGTGTGCCTCCCCAGCAGCTGGCATGGAGGCGCTATGAGCTGGAGAGGAAGGGGAACCCATGTAGGCGCCTGCCTTCTCTTGCACTTGATATTATTGCAGGCAGGCTGATTACCGGTCCAGCAGCCGTTGGAATGAGTTTGGAAGAGGCGAAGGAGTACAGGGAAGAGTTGATGGACGAAAGGAAAGTTCTGGTGAGGAAGGCAAATGAGGAATTGTTTGAGCGGCCCTTCTCACTTTGTGAGCACTAACATTGGTTTTTCTGTTTGGAAGCTGAGGTAATAGTGATGAAACGGACGACATTGTGTGCCATAAGGACGAGTTGCATTCAGATTAAATGTTTTAGAAACCTGCAGGCAGGAAAACAAGGAGCGCATGAGTAGTCAATCTCAAAAGCCGGCACTGATCCAACAAAATCAGGAGAGTGACCTACAGTACCTACCTCAGTCTTGCACTTGGGTGACATGAATCCAGATAAGGCTGAGCCTGGCACTGCTCGCAAAGCTCCAGTATTTTCCACTTTCAAAAACTCACAAAGCCCACCAGCAACTTTTTGCGTAGGAGTGGCAGAACCCCCAGGTACATCCAGGCCAGAAAAAGAGATCTCAGACATCAGGCCTTAAGGCGAAGAGACGGAAAGCTAACTGAGTTTCCCCGTGGAACGAGTAGATTCACTAAAAAGAACGCTAAACAGAAGAAGCGGACCTGAAGACTCCTTTATCAGTAATTTCATACTTCAGTCAGTTGTTCTCATTTCCGCATGCATGTAAACGAGGAATTCGTTGGGATGTTCTGTAGCAATAGCGAATCACAGCCTAATGAATGTGATGGTGGGCTATTTCTTCTGCTGCGTCGTACACCAATCCTCAGCATTTCCTCTCGTTTATCGTAGGTCCTCCTTTTAGAACGATATCTGTACATTCTCTTGTATTTTTCCGAGGAGTAGTCGTCACCATGCTTCTCAATCAGGACCTTCCTGATTTTCCGAATCCCTTTGACAACGCGGGAGACTATTCATTGGGCTTCGAAGTAAAGACCCTTAAGGAGCAGTTGCTATGTCACGTCATGGGAAGCATCCGAGAAAAGACAGATTGGATGAGGAAGGTCATGGACGATGTGATTGTAGCGAAGTGGAAGGAGGAACTGACGAATCCCGTCCGGCCAGCGAAAGCGTATTTCGTGAGGGGAGAAAGGGACGTGTCGCTTGATGATCCAGCCAGCGTGGTTTCGTTCTTGAGGGACAACGGCAAGCGGATTGTCAAGGTGATTTTTTTTGCAACGCATGTGCTCCTTACCCCCTCCCCTTCAACACCTCCCTTTCGCCCTCCGTCCCTCACACCCACCCATCTAATGCCATTCTTTTCAAGTTAATGCTGATTATATCGAACGTTGGGACTTGCTTACCTTGCTGACTCCATTCGGTATCCATTCCCTTGGTTCCTCTCCCATCAGGTGGACCCTGATCTAGTCGACTACGCCATCGAGGAGCTTCGCTGGCAGGCCACCACTTACAACCCCTCCTCTCCGGCCATGCCAGTCACACCAGTCATGCCAGTTATGCCTGAAGTCCTGCCAAGCGCAGTGGATGGCGTCTACCTCATTCCGTCCGCCTCCTTCCCACCTGAAATCCTCCAGCCGTTTCTGGAAGGAATGCATCGCCTGGAGTTTGTTCCCGAGGATCAGATTGACTACCATCCAGGGTCAAACAAACAGGTCATTGACTTGGTCCATCCGTCACTCCACTGCCTGGTGTACGGCCGAACCGGAGTCATTACCGAGCCTGACTACACCACTCTGGATATCCTGCCGTGGGACGAAATGGTCAGTGAGTTAGGCTCAGTTGCGGACGTTCGTGAACTTGCAGGTTTGGCAACGGATTCGGAGGAGGGAAGTCAGGCTGGGATGAGGAGGGTGGAAGATGAGTTTTTTTCAGATACATTTCAGTGGCTGCCAGCAGAGATTGATGTTTCTGCGGACGGGCAGAGTGCAAAGTTTCGGTCGTACATCAACAATCTGCATCCGCTTGAGTTTGCAGAGACGTATCGAAGCCTGGAGAAGATATTTGCCTTGGCGTTCGTGCCGTTGTTCAAAAAGGTGCTGACAGATTCTGCCAACCCACGACCACTGCGGATTACTGTCGACCCATACAGGTAGGTATTGCCTGGTTGACTATGTGTTCGGTGTGCTTTCGTCTTGCTTTTTGCTTATGGTATTGCCATCTTAGTGGAAAGATTGCATTTTTTGTATCCATCACATGTGCTCAGGGCCTACGAGAGCGCTCTACATCTCAATTGCCAAGCAACGCATGTGTTCGCTCCATTCTTCCCCGTCCCACTGCAGCTGGTACGAAGGCTGGAGGGGAGATCGAGAGTATGACTTAAGTGATGACGACGACAACGAGGCATATAGAGAAGACAGGGAGCCACTGCAGCCAGAGGTGCCGGACTTCTCACCTCCCCCAGAACCACCCAAGGAGCGGGTGGTGAAGCTGGAGGACAGGCGGTTACAGGTAATAGTGAAGGTCGCTTCCATCCGCCTCACCCCGGACCAACCCAAATACCCTGGAGGCACGTGGCATGTGGAAGGCATGAGGAATGAGAGCATTGTGGTGAGTCACTGCCTGCTTTCATCCGTTCCTGCTAGATTTATCATTAATAGGTTTCCATCTTTTCTGCATGTTCTTGTCAAAGTTCTTTGACAACCCTCTATCCTCACAGGCCACTGGCATCTATTACTATGACATTGAGAACATCTCGGAGTCGCGTCTGCGGTTCAGACATACAGTCAGAGAGCCAGACTACGAGCAAGACGACCGAAAGGGAGTCCAAATGGTTTACGGGCTTGTGGAAGATGGCTCACTCGTGCAGCCCTTAGGCTCGGTCCAAACCTCCACGCCAGGCCTGTGCCTGGCGTTTCCGAACCACTACCATCACTGTGTATCTCCGTTTGAGCTCGCTGACAAGTCCAGGCCCGGACATCGCAAGATACTCGTGTTTTTCCTTGTGGACCCAAAGACACGAGTTCTGTCAACAGCACGTGTGCCTCCTCAGCAGCTAGCCTGGAGGCGCTACGAGCTGGAGAGGAAAGGGAACCCATGTAGGAGCCTGCCTTCTCTTGCACTTGATATGGTTGCAGACAGGCTGATTACGGGTCCACCAGCAGTTGGAATGAGTATGGAAGAGGCAAAGGAGTACAGGGAAGAGTTAATGGAGGAAAGGAAGGCACTGGTGGTTCGGGCAAATGAGGAACTGTTTGAGCGACCCTTCTCACTTTGTGAACACTAACATGGGGTCATCAGCTTGGAGGTACATGGCCTCTGTATCTATAGCAATGTACCGTGTGAAGGCAAACTTGTCAAACGGACCTGTGGAAATTGCACTATTAATAAAAGAACATAATGAATGGAATACATGGTAACAGAAAGGCAATGAGCTCTGCATGTCAACCTGGTGTCTACACAAACCCACCCAGACAAGCACCCACCATAACAGCTACCGTATCCAAGTTGCAACTGTGTGTAAGGAACTCACCCACCATAACAGCTATTTGAGTTGCGCTGAGTGGACGGCTCTAAGACTGACTCCCTACAAATAGTCTCAAACACCGGCAATCTACGAGGGCTGCCAAGGGGGGTAGAAAATGCACCTCCCCCAGAAGATGCACTGCTCCTGGCAGTCGGAAGAGAAAGCTGAGACTTCAAGGGAGATGGCACAAGGCCACCAGATCCAGACACACAAGAGCTGCTGGTAGAAAGCTGACTGGGAGAGGCTCCAATAGCTGGAGAGCTTGCCGCTGACGTGGAAGCTGAGGTATAGTGAATGAAACGGCATCGCGTGCCATAGGGACAAGTTCCATTCAGATTAAAAGTTCTACAGACCTGCAGGCGGGAAAACAAGGAATGCATGAGCAAGTCACTCTCAACTCAAAAGCCGGCATTGATCCTACAAAATCAGGGAAAAAGATTACCTCAGTCTTGTACTTGGGATGGCGTGCAACAGCTCGAAGCTCGTCCCTTCCATGTGCAAACTGGCACTTCCCTCCATAACGACAGGCACCTGTCTCTTCCCATGATCGGCACAGCTCCGTCTTGTACAGTGGATTGGTTGGACTAGCAGCGCTCGCAGCAGTAGCTACCGCAGCAGCTGCTGCAGCTTCTGCAGCAGCAGTGGCAGTGACTGAAAGAGATGTCACTGAATCAAGAAGCGACGCACTAGACAGAGAACGGGCTAGCAGAGTAGGAGTTGGTGGAGCAGGAGATGAAGGACCTGACATGAACCCGGTAAAGGCTGACCCTGGCACTGCTCGCAGAGATCCCCAACTTTCCACCTTCAAAAACTCATGAAGCCTACCAGCTAGCACAACTTCCTGCCTAGGAGTGGCGGAAACTTCAGGACCTTCAGGTAAAGCCAGGCTAGAAGAGGGGATCTCAGATGCCAGGCCATCTCCTGGCCAAGGTTTCTGCCATCGTGGAGTTCTATCAAGTGGTGAAACGGCCAAATAACTTGGGTCAGAATCAGCAGATGGTAACAGATGAGCGGAGCGTGGCTGGTTGGTTTGAGCGTTGAAGGAACTGAGCTGTCCCAAGGGAGCTTGCACTGACGGAATGGAACTTCCTGGAAGCATGCTCCCAGAAAATCCATGAACGGCAGAGAATGAGTCAAAAGGTCCTGCACAATGCCATCAGCCACGTAAGAAATTCAGCACCACTGAATGCACAGGACAACTTCATCCATGGAAAAAGATCTGACACACACCTGGGGAGGCAAGAAAGGTCGGAACTTGGAGAGATGGCAATGCCATAAGAGCTGCTCTTCGAGCTCGCAAGCTGGATGTTGCAGCCAAAAGCTCAGAAGTTGTTGGACCAGAAACCCCTGGCGAGCCAGTAGTCGACCTCCCTGATCCATTCTGGTACAGGGGTGTCCACACTTGAGGCGTAGCTGGCAGTGAAACTGATCCGTTGCTCTGAGATATTACTCCACCCAGACTTGTCATATCGGTGCGAGGAGAAGGTGTACCTGCACCACGGAGTTCCAGAACTGACGGCTCAAGAGATGTGTCACGTGGCCTCGGAGAAGCAGGAACAGGAACTTCATGAACTTTCTGAAAGTTCTGGACTTCTTGAAGTTGAATACTCCCTCTAGACTTGTCAAATTCACCTGCATAACATGAGCAGAATGGTCAAATTATGTACCAAAAGGAAAGGAGAAAAGAGAAGCATGCTCCTTCTTGTAAAAGCGCTGTACTAGAACTACAAAAACTCACTTTCGCCGTCAGAATCAACACCTTCCAACTCAGATTCAGCTGTTGGGCTCAAGCCAACACCCAGGTCATGAAGTGACTTCATAATGAAACTGCTAGGATTTCCGTCAGCACAATAAGTAGAATATTCCTGCTCGAGTGACTCTTCAGCAGCAAACGCAGCAGCCATAGCGGCCCTCTCTTGATTCAGCTGGACACATTTCTGCACATAAACAATCACAGAAGGTAAACTCATGGATACAGAAAAGGGATCAGGAAATGAGCACAAGTGAACCAAAAAGTACTTACCCTGAACAGAAGATGCTCTCCAGAAGAGCCTCTCGTGGCAGCATGAGCACGACTGCCGCAACCACGGCCAAATGACCTCCGTCCTCCTCCTCCACTCACTGCTGCTGCCAGTCCAATCTGACTGTTTGGATAAGAAGACGATGCGGCTCGTGAATGCAACCCACTCTGAGAGCCGACCTCGGAGAGACGCATCGGTTCATTCCGGCTCTCGCTTTCACGATCTGAATGGATTAGGCTGGAACCACCATGGATTCTTTCACTGGAGCATGGTTGAACCCCTCCTTCCGTAGGAACAGAACTCTCGCCTCCACTACTCCTCGTATCCCTCATGCTTGAGCCACGTGAGGCCGACGAGAGGACCTGGGATTGCCGGAACCCAATAAGCATGTTCATGGTCGCGATATACAGGTCCCAGCACCTTTGAATATTGAAACGTATAGCTTCTCAAAACGGACCGCCATGCGTCATCGCTGCTGCTTTCCAGCGGAAAACTGCTCTCCAGCGGAAAACAAAACGCAGCAACAACCTCGTTGTCGAGAAGGACGAGGTGAAGCTGATAGAAACCCTCATACTGACCATAACAAGATAAAAGAGTCAGGTAGAGCCAGACGAAAGGCTCGTCTCCTCGAGTTTCCAACATAGCGTCGCGACAAAGTTAGCTGTCGGAATAGCAGAGGAAACCCTTGCGATGATGTGTCGCGTTTTAAGAGAACCAGCCGTGGTGGTAAGCTCTCCAGCATAGCCCTTCCGTAGTCCTCTGAGCACATCTGCTTTTCCATGACCTCTCAGGACGCTGGTCCAGAGAGCAACCTAGAGAGTATCCGAAAGCTCGATCACTCAGGAGCATCATGAAAGAGTCGCTGGTCTCATTCAGATCATGCTGAGAAAGTGGCTCTGCATTGCGCATTCAAGCATGCAGGCGATGGGATGGTTCTGTGAGCCACGTCAGAAAGTGGAAATGTAAGGCGCTGTGGGTGCGAGAAGCATTTGAGTTCATCGCTAATAGTGCGATCGATACAAGCCGTTATCAAGCTGCTAATTTTTTTAAGGTTGGTAAAGTCTATTAGCCATAGAAGCACTTTCAACTATCACCACCATATATCTTGAGACCGAAGGGTGCCAAGATGGAATATATTTAATATACAAGCAGTACACCACAGGCAGGCACATTATGCAAGATAGGATCGGGGAAGTGAGAACAGTGGCAAGTAACCATGTGCCACATTGTGTAGGTCTCTGAGCAGCGTTGGCTACAGAAGCAAAAAGGACAGTTACCAGTTGGCATGAAAACCGTGTGGTTGCGATGGTTCATGCCAGTTGGCCTTGGTTGGCGCATATCGAGATTGGTGAGCAAATCCCCACAACTGAAAAGAAGAAATGGCATACCGTATCATGAGGATGCAGAAGGATGTGAGAACGAAGGAGCGGGGAAGCAGAATTAATGGGAGCAGATTGTGGATGCTAGATGCGCTCATTTCCTTCCTGTCTGACGGATCATTCTCCCTCAGCTCCCTGTATTATATTTCTCAATGTGAGGTATTTAGTCTTTCACCTGCATGCCTCTACTCAGCTAGCATGCCGCATGCCACCTTTTCTCACTCACCCCTCGCATGCCCGCCTCACTTCAGCATGCTCACCACACCTTCGAGGCGCCGCCTCAAAACATCATATGCTCACCTCACCCCCACGCACTCTCTTCACCCTCATTCCAAATGCTCCCCGACCCCACATGCTACCCTCACGTGCACTCGATATCACGTTCTCTTATCATTTCCACATGCTCTCTGCGTCTCACCCCCTAACCCTCAACCCCGCATTCTCCCCTCACCCTCACCTCCACGTGCTTTATCTTAAAGTCCTCAGACTTAGAGAGGCATGGACTGCAGAATGTCTCACACGCACCGCTGGAGCCTGTCAGACTGGAGGGGAGAAAGGGGGATGTGGGAGAACAAGGGGGAAACGGATCAGATAGTAAGGAAATGAGACTTGCACGGTTGACAAAAGTCCTCGGATGGAGAGGCATGGACTGCAGAATGTCTCACACGCACCGCTGGAGCCTGTCAGACTGGAGGGGAGAAAGGGGGATGTGGGAGAACAAGGGGGAAACGGAAGATGTAGTATGGAAATGAGACTTTCATGCTTGATAAAAGTCCTCGGACTTGGACAGGCATGGACTGCAGAATGTTTCACACGCACCGCTGGAGCCTATCAGACTGGGGAAAGGAAGGGGGTTGTGGGGGGACAGGGAGGAAACTAACAGCTTGAAGAAATGACACTAGCATGCTTGATATTGAAATCTTTGGGATCGGAGAGGCATGGACCGCAGAACGTCTCACACGAACCGCCGGAGTCTGTCAGGATGGGGGAGCAAGGACTTGCTCAAAGGGAAAACGGGAAGCACTAGGAATCTCTAGAGTTAGCAGTAGCACCTGGCACTCTCAACGCCATCAGTACTAGTGACAACTGAGGTGCTTGCAATCCGTAAAAGAAAGTGATTCTTTAATAGGTGACTCACAGGTCCTCCTGCAGGCACAGGGCGAAGTGGCCTCCGCCTCCAAAGGAGAGAGCTTCGTTCAGACACAGGATGAAGTAGCGGTTTGCCCCTGACAGGTGTGAGAGAAGAAACCACGGGGGGGGGGGGAAACGTGATACAAATGCAGGAATGAAGAATGGGATAGTGACCAAGGATAGGCACAGGGCGAAGTGGCCTCCGCCTCCAAACGAGAGAGCTTCGTTCAGACACAGAATGAAGCAGCGGTTTGCCCCTGACCAGGTGAGTGCGAGAGGAGAAAACCAAACAAGAATGTATTCAGGAATCAAGAATGTGCTGCTTCGTAATGATGTTAAACTCAAAATCAAATGAGAGAAGTTTTGGTATAACTTCTAAAAACATACTGTTCCACGCTCCCGACTTGTTACCTGTAACCTTGTAGACCGTGGGTTCCCCTGTAATGGTGGTGAACACAAAGACGTCGCTGGATCCCTGCCACAGGCAGAGGACAGTCGGGGGAGGAGGTAAACAGGGAAACAAAAAGGGTTCTTAGGCGTCTAAAGGATCTCCCCTATAATGGTGGTCAACTCAAAGACGTCGCTGGATCCCTGCCAGAGGCAAAGGACAGCCGGGGATGCAGAATGAAAAGAAAGAATCCTTAGGCGACTTAAAGTTTTTCCTGTAATGGTGGTGAACACAAAGACATCACTGGACCCCTGCCACTGGCAGAGGACAGCCGGGGAAGGAGGTAAACAGGGAAACAAAAAGGGTTCTTAGGCGTTCTAAGGATCTGCCCTGTAATGGTGGTGAACACAAAGACGTCACTGGATCCCTGCCACAGGCAACGGACAGCCAGGGATGGAGAATTAGGAGAAAAAAAAAAAAAAAAAAAAAAAAAAAGTCTTTGGCGACTGAAAGTTTTCCCTGTCATGGTGGTGAACACAAAGACATCACTGAACCCCTGCCACAGGCAGAGGACAGCCGGGCCAGGGATAGAGGCAACAATGGAAGTTTGAAAGATTAAGACTCCAATTTTAAGAGTAGAGAGGAGCATCAATCAAGGAGACGGAAAATCACAAATAGGGGTGACTGTCCTGCCAAAGGGGTTCAGCTTTTGTGCTGCTCCTGGACAACAGCTGAACCCCTTACGTCGCACAGAACGGGATGATTGTAAGGGGTTCAGCTGTTGTGCTGTCGTTCTTACAATCAGAAACAGAAAAACGGGATGATACGCGATGTGGACAGCTGAATTGTGAGCGAAGAGCATATGGGATTGCGCACCTGGTACTTTCTGCGATTGGAGGCTACAAGCGCTTGCGATGAGAAACCGCCAAAAACGGTGCCGTTATCCTCAGTCACCACCTGGCGGGGTGGTGGGGGGAGGAAGTGGGAGAGGAGTTGGTGGGTGGGAGTAGGGAGGAACAACTTCGAGGCATTGCAAACCTTGACAAGCCGCTGAATACGGAGCCGTTATCCTCAGTCACCACCTGGCGGGGTGGTGGGGGGAGGAAGTGGGAGAGGAGTTGGTGGGTGGGAGTAGGGAGGAACAACTTCGAGGCATTGCAAACCTTGACAAGCCGCTGAATACGGAGCCGTTATCCTCAGTCACCACCTGGCGGGGTGGTGGGGGGAGGAAGTGGGAGAGGAGTTGGTGGGTGGGAGTAGGGAGGAACAACTTCGAGGCATTGCAAACCTTGACAAGCCGCTGAATACGGAGCCGTTATCCTCAGTCACCACCTGGCGGGGTGGTGGGGGGAGGAAGTGGGAGAGGAGTTGGTGGGTGGGAGTAGGGAGGAACAACTTCGAGGCATTGCAAACCTTGACAAGCCGCTGAATACGGAGCCGTTATCCTCAGTCACCACCTGGCGGGGTGGTGGGGGGAGGAAGTGGGAGAGGAGTTGGTGGGTGGGAGTAGGGAGGAACAACTTCGAGGCATTGCGAACCTTGACAAGCCGCTGAATACGGAGCCGTTATCCTCAGTCACCACCTGGCGGGGTGGTGGGGGGAGGAAGTGGGAGAGGAGTTGGTGGGTGGGAGTAGGGAGGAACAACTTCGAGGCATTGCAAACCTTGACAAGCCGCTGAATACGGAGCCGTTATCCTCAGTCACCACCTGGCGGGGTGGTGGGGGGAGGAAGTGGGAGAGGAGTTGGTGGGTGGGAGTAGGGAGGAACAACTTCGAGGCATTGCGAACCTTGACAAGCCGCTGAATACGGAGCCGTTATCCTCAGTCACCACCTGGCGGGGTGGTGGGGGGAGGAAGTGGGAGAGGAGTTGGTGGGTGGGAGTAGGGAGGAACAACTTCGAGGCATTGCAAACCTTGACAAGCCGCTGAATACGGAGCCGTTATCCTCAGTCACCACCTGGCGGGGTGGTGGGGGGAGAGAGGAGGTGTGTGGAGGGGGAGGAAGAGCTTTGATTCGAGGCGTCCCAAACCTTCCGTCGACTACGGTGCCGTTATCCTCTGTCACCACCTGGCGGGGTGGTGGGGGGAGAAAGTGGGAGAGGAGTTTGGAAGCGGGGAGGAAAAGGGGAGGCGTCGAGGAGGAAAGGGAAAAAGTGGTGCGAGTTTTGGGCACAGATGGATAGAGGAGTTTGAGAGCCGGACTAAGGGCGCGCGTAATTTCAGTGCTTCGGTTCGGCCGTCGTGCTTCTTGTGGTTACCAGGGAAAGACTGGTTACATGGCAAGGATGGAAAGTCTACGAATGTAAAGTAGCCGGAGGGATCAGTGGTGGATATTCCAAGTGCCAACTTTTCAGGCTTGAACCTATGTATGAATGGATGAATCTATGTATGGATGGATGAATTCTCACCAGCAGGCAGGGGCCTGGCATCATGGAGCTGCGGCGGTAAAGGGTCGATAGAGAGATGCCGTGCTTGAATGTGCTGCGGTGGTGAGAGATAAAACGGGGTGGGGAGTGGTGGTGTGGTATGGGTGGATGGGGAGGGGGGGGGGAGAGGGATAGGGGCGACAGGAGGGGATGAAGGATGAGGGAAGAAGTGGTGACGGGATAGGGCAGGCTGTGATGCGGCAGGCAGGGATGGGGCAGGCGGGGATGGGGCAGGCAGGCATGGGGCAGGCGCGGATGGGGCAGGTGGGGGACGGGGCAGGCGGGGATGGGGCAGGCGAGGATGGTGCAGGCGGTGATGGGGCGGGCGGGGGATGGGGCACAACTACAAGGGAAGACACTCAAACATTCTCCCCAAAGAGAAATCATGCTGACGAAATGAGCAACCAAACGCCATGAGGAAACATGAAATAAAAAAGAGCGAAAGTGGAGGGAGTGGGGAGTGGGAAAGGGGTAGGGAAGGTGGGAGGGGAAGGGGAAACTGAGCGAGGAAGAAGAGAAGGGGGTTCAGTAGTAAACATTCTTCATTTTATGTTCGTCCTGCAACCCTCAAGTCCGTTCGTGCACATTCGTGCTTCTTCAACACACCTGTACAGGAGAACCCACTCGCGCCCACTGGCAATCGCGGGCAAGCTCTGGCAAATCACGGAGCGACACGTGTCGGACAGCAGGAACGACTCCTCCATCATATCTGGCAGCCTGGGGCTCATCAAAGGCGACGCTTCCAAAGAATTTGGAGATAATATCCTCTCTTTCCCGCTCCCAGTATTGGGGTTGGGGGATACGAGTCCCCCTCTCCCACCCGCAGTATTGGTGGGAGAGAAAATCCCCTCTCTCGCACTGGTTTCTCTCGCAGGCTCGGAGGCTCGGGAGGTGAGGGCTTGGGAGCAACTGGCTGTCGTGACAGGTTCGGACATCCTCTGCTGAAGCTGCTCGTCTGCTCCGGCTAAACTTGCTCCGGAGAGACTTGCTCCGGATACTGCTGCTGATACAGCTCCTGATACTGATACTGCTCCTGAAACTGCGCCTGCTGCTGACACGAGGGTTACTGATGACGATGATGATGACACAGCAGCGGATGCTGCTGACGTGGCCAGGCCTCCTTGATTAGCCCCGTTGTTGTTCTCTCGTGCCTCCAGCCTGGAAGATGACGTCAGCGCCACGTCACCGCATCCAGCGTCAGCGGAGAGGGACGAGGAGGACGAGGAAGGGGTGATTGAGGGGGAGGAGTCCCGGGATCGAGCACCCCTTGGCCCAGCTGCAAAGCGTGATATAAACGGGGGTAACCACCCCCGCCTCGCCCCTCCCCCACTCCCACCCCCATTCCCACCCCCGCTCCCACCCCCACTAGCACCACCTCCTCTCACTCTCCCACTCTCCCCCCCAGTATCCCATTTCCTCAGACCCTCCTCCTGCCCCTCCCCTCCCTCCTCCCCACCGTACTCCCCTCCCACCCCACCCCGCCCCCTTCTCCTCACCCTCCCATCCTGCCCTGCTGCACCCAAACCGCTTGGTACCACTCCTCCCTTCCCCTCACCGTCCACCACCGCACTATCCTCCTCCCCAACCTCTTCATACTCCTCCTCTTCAAAATCCGAGTCCGCGTAGGACCCACCTGATTCCGAACACGTGTCAGAGCTCGCCTTGTTCCCGCGCGGATTGATACTTATCAGCGACAGCAGAAACGCGGCGAGGGACGACGTGTCAGGCCCTTCGAATTCCTCGTCCACGCCTAGTGTCGACGGCACGCGGGGAGGCCTTCGCCCCACTCTACCCAACCCCGACTCAGCAGCAGCTGCCACGGCTGCTGCTGTTGCTGCAGCGATCTGTGCGGAATCGTCACCGTAGCTCCCCGTTAGGCCTTCACCCCCCGCTGCTGCTTTCACAGGGGTTCGTCTCCCAGGCGTTCCTAACCCCGAGCCTTCGCCTAACCCTGCTGGAACGCCCGAGCCTGAACCCGTTCCTGGGTCAAAACCAACGACTCCTGTTGCTCCACGTGGGACGTCGTCAGAGGAAACGCCAGCTTCGGAAACAAAGGCCGCACCTGCGCGACTCGCGGTACCATCTATGGCATTGGTATTAATCATCGAGGTGGAAGCAGAAGTGGTAGTGGTAGTGGTGCTGGTGGTGTTCAGAGTGGTGCCGGTGTTTGCGCTCGTGCCTGTCTTGGCAGCTGAGCCGCTGGCTGCGCCTCGTCTCATGGCGGTGGAGGTGGTGGTGGTGCTGAAGGAAGTTGCTGCGAAGCTGCTGGCATTGTCCATGGACTCGTCGTACATTACAGGTTCGGATTGACGCGCCTGGAACAGAGGATGGGAGGTTAAATAACCACATATGGGTGGAGAAGCAAGGCAACGGGGAATGGGAGAAAAATATGCGAATTTAAGCTTCCTCATTTGACCCACCTGTAACATGAAATGGGCCAAGAAGCAAGGTCAGCAGTAGCGATCAGTGAGCTGCAAGCTGTCTTCAATATCGTTTAAACGAAAATGTTCACAAGGAGCTTGATAACCACTGAAGATAAAACGTAAAGCTTTCGCAGCGACAACGATGAAAAACGATTCAATTCGACGTCACAGCTGACCTTTGCGGGGAATCCTCCCCGTTGAACCTCTTCCGGAGGAGATTCACATTTGCCTCGCCTGCTGGCCGTCGCGAGTAGTCGAGACATCCTGTCACTGACTGCGTCCGTCCAACCCATGGTATGTGGGGGTTACAGGGAACAATTCCTGACACCAGCAACCGTAGTTACGCGATATTCTAGCGGTTCGCTCAGACGGGTTAATCGTGTCCCCACTAATCATTCAATTTGAGCAATCGTCTCAAGTAAACGGTCTAAGAATCCGAATCAATCCGGATATGATCCTAAACTCAGTGATTTGGACAAAATTTTGGTGGGAAAATGGAATCCAAAGCTTGTGACCAAGCAGGCACAGCCGAAGGAGGAGAACAGATTGTGACACTAAAGGAGGTGATAACATGCGAGTGAACAAAGGGATGTGAGGATGGAGATAAAGTAGTCATGGTACAGTTCAGGTTCTCGGGGACTGGGAAAAGGGCAACTTCGAAGCTACCCGAGCCAATCAGGAAAGCTTGCCAGCAAGGCCACATAACCAGCTGACATGTCTGAGGCCCTCACCTCTTCTGCGAAGTGTGTGACTGACAGGACTGTACTCACATTTGTCACAGCCAAGCTAGATGTGAGTAAATTCAGTGAACTCAACGCCAAATTCACACATGATCCACCGCTATAGCGAATTAGGTGGTTAGATAATAGCGAGACTTGTTGCTGTTGTTGCACCCTTTCCCGCTGCTTTTGATTGGTCGAATTTCAGCATAAGTTGGCACACACCTCCGCCGTGGATTCGCTCAATCTTGTCTCTTGCTGCCCCATCAGAAAGTGCGCCTCAATTTTTAAGAGGGGGTGAGAGTGTACAAATACCTAAACGCTCGTCCGAACTACCCCTCATGCTAAAACTGGTTGGGGTCGGAAACCCGGTGCACCACCACCCTATGTTGCCCCGCCTTCTCGCATCCAGCGCCACCACCCCAAACAAAAACTACACGCGGGGTCAGAGCCACTCGGTCCCGTTACTGTAGCCTCCCCCACAGCCCATGCCAATATGGAGGGCGCAAGCAAGGATACTCCAAGCTTTTTGCATCTAGCTCTGTAATATTTTTTGAGTTCACCCTCACGTCACAGTTTCTTGGATTCGGAAACTTCCAGATTTCTGCCGAGAACCCTCTCGTCTCCCCGCTTTCTAGCCATCAGCTCCGACCGCCACAGTCACCAGCAGCAAACTAGTCCTTCCACAAAACAGTCCCAGAGCAAGATTTTGGAGATCCTAGGTAACAGCAGGATAGTAGTATCTTTTCGGGTTGGGAGTTCAGCCTTGAACTAGGCTGAGCCGCGCAGAGCGCTGTTGTCGGATTTTCCAGTATTCAACCCTAGCTTTGCCGATTTAAGCCCGCTTAAGGTCTTGGATTAAAGTTCTGTCAGCTGTTAGCGTGGTTCGTTCCTCTATGTTTACGTCGACCCCTTCCTTTCCTCACGGTTCCGCGTCAGCGATGACGTCAGCAGCAGAGCCACCGCTTTGCCTCGGAGGCGCACACGGTATCGATCTGCTTGGATCTTCCGTTCCGACTTCAATAGAGGACCGCGATGACGTGGATGATCTCACGGAGGAGGATGTCTGGTTCCCTGGCGATGTTGACAATTCGCCAGCAGTTCGAACCGCTCAGGCTGACGCCGCACGTCCTCTGGCTGTCGAATCCATGGGTCGAACCTTCGCACCCTCCACAAGGGAACCTCTCGTTCCGCTTTCTGGTATGACGGTAACGCGGGGTCCTGCGGATGCCGTTCCCGCGATCTTAAACTCACGCGACGGCTTGTCGAGCAAACCGCTTGGCCTGTCTCTTGTCCCCGCGCTCGTGGAGGCCAACTCTGGTGATAGCATCAGGGTTCCTAACATCGGGGGTGATATTATCAAAGGATCTTCAGGCGCTCTACCGACTTCCTCCGTTCTTATCCCGAGACCGGTACCAAGTCCTCATAACGCAATCCGACCAATGGCTAGAGCTTCCGCTCCCATACATATTCCTTGTTGGAGTAAGTCCTCCGCGCCGCGACAACTCGCTGCTGCAGGACCGAGCAGGATGGGGTTGAGAGGGGAGGAGCAGCAGGAGGAGGATGAGGTTATTCCTCCGCACGAAATCGTGGCGAGGCAGTATGCACAGAGTGTAAATTTCTCGGTGACGGAGGGGGTTGGCCGGGCTCTTCGTGGGAGGGACTTGGCTCACGTGCGGACGGAAATCCTTCGCAAGACAGGGTTTTTTGAATGACACGGACCGTTCGATTGAGCATCCCCAATTTGCAGGCCATTCTGGGAGTCTTCGCTGGGGTCTGACTGAGGAAGATGGAGAACGATCTGCTGCACTGGGAAGGGGGAAGTTTCTGTCATCATTTTTGTTGAGCTGCAGCTTGGGATGTGGTGGTTATGGCTGCCACGTTCTTGCAGCCTTCCTTGGCCTGTACATGTAGATTCTTGGCTTTGGTTGCCTCCCTTCCATTGATGACGTACGGTACTGTAGGACATGTAATCAGCAACTTTATTCATCTAGTGATGTCTTCAGTTCTTTCGGGAGTGAGGATGTGTGCTCTTTAGCAACAATTACCGGGTACATACGAAGGTGGAGCTTCATCTTTCTTGTCCAAAGCACTCTCCCCTTCACACACTGCCACATTTCAAGGCTTGGAAGTAGGGTACAATCTTGGTACCGTACTATATATTCCAACATGCCGTACCCAATATTATACAACGGGATGTCTGCAACAGATTTCTAATGCCAGCTATGGCAAGGAAGGATGCATGTCTGGCACTTCTAAAACAGCGTGGCATTCCAAGGAACAGGGAAACCCACTGGATACGTGGAATAGCCTTGCGGAATGTCCGTGCCATACTGGAACTGTCCATAGTACTTCTGTGGGAGGACTCGAAAGTTCTCCCCTCGTATGGCTTCAGCGGCTGCTAGCAAGCCGTAGAAGTAACTTAGGAAAAGTCCGTACATGAGAAAGAGCATGCCGATGGCGGAAAACCAATCCAGCCAGTCAATGGCCTTGAATCGCTGCATCAGGGTCGGTCGGATTTCGAGCGGCGCGGACAGGGAGGAGGGCCCTCCTGAGAAGATTCCATCGGATTCTGCGCTGTTAACGGGGACGGCGTAGAACGCGGACGACATTCTGACGATGCGCTCGAGAAGCGTGTACCGAAGGAGGTACTTCGACTTGGCAAGCAAGAAGTTGCGGAAACGACAGCGATAAATAGTAAGCAGAGGACTCGAAGGGGTGACAATGCGCTTTAACGATGGACAGGGACAGCGCCTTACGCAATCTTTACACCTCTGGGATGCAGGACCACGTTGTCGCCCAAAAGATAACCTAAAGCTCGGCGACAGTCAAATTCACAACTAACTCGCAAAGCTGATTATTCGCACCCAAGGGACACCAGCAGCTCAGCGGCCATCATCACATTCCCGAGACAGAAGGGCGCAGGGAGAGGGAGGAGTTGTGGAAATCGAGGAAAAATAAAAGATTGCGGTGCGTTGCGGTACGGTTAAAGAGTTACAAACGCGGTTTGGATAGGTTTGGGAGGGAAAGGGGTGAGCACAGGAGGCGCTGTCGGAAGCGGAGGTGAAGGGAACGGCGCAAGGGCAGAACTGTGGCGGGGCGACGACAATTTCGGGCATGGAATGGGTGGAGGGGGCTTGCCTGGGGGAGCGCTGGGGGAAGGGAATTCTCGCTATAGTAGTCCAATGGCTATTTGTAGTCGGGATTAGCCGGGCACCCTAATGCAAGATTATACAATATTCTACCATGCTCTCTTCTTGCTACTACGGGGAAACCAACTTCCCCAAAACGTATTTATGCTTGATACTTCAGCATTGTTAGTAACATTAAGATACTTCAATCACAGGCATTCCCACAAACTGTCGACTCCATCCTGTTCCTTTTGCCCTTACCTCCCCTACTTTCCTTGCCACCCGAACCACCCACTCCTCATCCACATTTGGGCACCGTGCCAGGTGGCACCTGGCGATTTGCTTGCATCCATGTAACACGTGTGTCACACCCTGTGTGGTTACCCCGTTACAGGCGCGGAGGGTGAAAGTGGAGAGCAGAGGCCAGTGCAATACAATGGTGTGAAGGAGGAGGTCGGAGAGGTGGGTAGCACGGAAGCCAGAGAAGAACATGTGGAGCAAGCGATGGCACGACTGCACTAGGGGGATAAGCCCTGCCTCTGATATCTCCCTGTGGGCGGGCAGCAGAGAGGGGGGGAAGTAAAAAAATGGCAGAGAAGATAAGAGAATTGCATCAAATAAATAAAAAACGACCAAAATAAAATTCAGAAGAACAGGGTTGAGGGAAAAGGAAGGGGAGGGGATGGGAGAGGTAAGTGGGGCTTGGAAAAAACAACAAAAGATCAGGATGAACCACCACCACTGGTCACCCATCAACGCTCTCCACCCAGCAGCACCGCATTCCACAGCGACGCACCTGCAATACTCCACGGCGATTGAGGAGAGGCGGGGGCAGGAGGCAGCAGCAGGAAGGAATCAGAGAGCCCATCCAGCCCCTCCAGATGTAGACTCTCCAGCGCACTCCACCCCAGCTGCAGCAGCGGCAGCACGTGTGACTGTAACCGCTGTGGCTGTACGCTCTGTGATTGTAGCCTACGTGATTGTTCATCATGTGCTGGTAACCACTGGTCAAGCAGCAACAAGGGAGAATCCGAGGCAGCAGGCAGAGCAGTGGACGATAACCACATGCCTTGGGTGCCTGATACATCATCTCGAGTCAATCCATCTCGAGGCAATCCATCTCGAGGCAATCCACCTCGAGTCAATCCATCTCGAGCCAACGCCGCCTCTTGCGTCGCTCCAAAGGCGTTTGCCTCAAAGGCAGTCGCCTCAAAGGAATTCGCCTCAAAGGAATTCGCCTCAAAGGAATTCGCCTCAACGGCAGTGTCCTCTACGGAATTCGTCTCGAAGGTGGTACACCACCGTCGTGCATCCAGCACGTCTCTCGCGAGCTGCTGGCCTGAGAAGCCGGGGCTCCATTTGAGCTGCAGCGAGCGCAGCCCCACTCCATGCACCACCACCGCCCGCAGACTCTCATCCGTCACCCTCGCCACTCTGTTACCACCAGCTCTATCGCCTCCTCCCCCTCCTCTTCCTGCTCCTCCTCCCTCTCCTCCGTCTCCCCCCCCACTCTCGCACCCACTCAGAGTCAGGGAGGTGATTGTTGGGCAGCCTTTCAGGAGGGCCACAATGCCTCGGTCACTCACGCCCTCGCAGTCTACAATCTCCACACTCTCCAGCCGGGCAGCTGTCCGGGCAGCGGTCAGAAAGAACCGGTCGAGTGGGTCTGGGCAGGCCATGACAGTCAGCCGGCGCAGGGCGGGCAGCTGCCCGGCAAACATTTCCAGCCAATGGGCATCGAGCGCACAGTTGATGATTTTCAAGGAGGACAGGTTCGGGAAGGACGCAGCGAGATTGCCTCCCCATCTCGCTGCTACCGTTCCTTCTCCTCCTGCTAGCGCCTCTGCTGCCGCCTCTGCCTCTCCACTCTCCCTCGCTGCCCCATTCGCTTCATCCGCCCGTCCAATGCCCCACTCTTGGGCCCTGTCCCCGTCTCGCCCCTTCCTACCCTCCATGCTGTCAGCTCCTCCCCTCTCACCCATGCGCACATCCTCCCCTGCCCCCCCCACTCCCCTTTCTCCTTCACCTCCCCCTATCCTTTCCGTTTCCCCTTTCGCTGCTCTCCCATCCAACCCCACCCTCCCTTCCGCTCGTTCCCCTTCCCCCGCCCCTCCACCGCCCGCGCGCCCTGCGCCAGGCGCGCTGCGCGCTTTCTTCGCCACGACGGACAGACTCAAATCCTCCAGATGCATCCCCTCCAATCCGGGGCACTTCTCCGCCAGCTCAGCAAACCCGCCGCCACTCACGTTCGGACAGCTGGCAATCGAGATCTCCTTCAGCGCGCCGCACCGCGCCACGTGGCGCAGAAACCGGTCCGTTAAGTGCGTGCACTTATACACAGTCACTTTGCTAAGCATCGGGTGTCCCTCCACACATTTCCAAAACTCGTCCGCTAGCGGCAACGGATCGTGCATCTCGATATGCCGAATGCTGCACCCCCACGTAGCAATAGTATGCGTTAAGTAATCTCTTAACACCTGATGGACCTCGTACTCCCCGCAGTTACAGATAGAGAGGTATTCTATCTGTGTTCCCGCCACCTGTTGGATCTGCAGGGGAGTGTTGAGAGAGAGTAGACGCACAATGGCTGACCCGTCTAGAACATCCGCGTCGCTGATAGGAGACTGGGGAGTGGCGGCGGCGGCGGCGGCGTGCGGTGAGCCGTTCCGCGCTTCTCCTCCGCCAACAGCTGCTACCCGCGCTTCGCCTCCCCCAGCCTCTGTTCCGCTTCCCCCAACCTGCGCCCCGCCTCCACCAATCCCCGTTCCGCCTCCTCCAGCCCCTGCGCTCATTCCCCCGTTTCCCCCTCCCCCCGGGCGCTTGTGGTGGCGGTCGTCCGCGCGCTGCTCCCGCGGAGCCCCCGGCAGCACGGTTGGGCCGAGGCAGCGGACGCGCAGCGTGCGGATGAGGGGGAAGCCGCGCAGCACGAAGCGGATCTCCGTTGCGCTCACCTACGAGAGTTACAGGGGGAGCGTGAAGGGAGGGAGGAGAGAAACGGGGAGGGGGAGAGAACCATCTAGGAACTTCATAAATTTTGTGACGATGAAGGGGAAAGAGCGGGGAAAGCGAGAAGGGGGAGGGGGAGGGGGGGGGGACAGAGGCAGGAGGAAAAAAACAAAGAATGAAGGGGATGGAGGATGATGAATCCAAAAAGCTCGAATATTCTGGATATCGAACTGCGGATCCCTCATGCTGTCTCCTAATTACTACACAACACAGAGGGGAAGTACGTGACTCCTGTATGTCATGCCGCGGCAGCAGACGCTCGCAACGCAACGCTAGATTCCACAACCAAAGGCGATTTACCTCGCTCTGCATGTAATGCGGCAGCAGTCGCTCGACTTTTGAGACGTCTCAAAAGTCAACGGTAGATTCCACAACCGCGATTTACCTCGCTCTGCATGTAATGTGGCAGTAGTCGCTCGTAGCGAAACCACAGGCGACACACGAGCGACACGGAGCACCGGTCTGCGACGGACAGATGCGAAAAGATCTTCGCGATCACGTCGCGCGGCAGCTTGTGGATCGCCGCCGGCTCGTACGCCGGCCATGGCTTCGGTTGGCGCGGCGGCGGCTTGCTCGCCGGTGGGTGCGGATTACTTCGCATGCTCTGCTCTTGCGATGATCGTGACGGCCTCGGCTGCATGCGATCCATCAGCTTCTGAAACGAAGCGACTATGGTGGTTAATGATATGTGGTAAGGAAAAATTACGACGAAAAAGCAGGATAAGCAGAGCGATGTGAGGAACGGAGAAGAAATTTGGGCAGAAACCCGAAGAATTTGCGCAAAAAACAGACGGACTTCAGCAGAAACCAAACAGACGGACTTCAGCAGAAACCGAGGGAAACGAGAAGAAACTTGACGCTTTCACCCGATAGCCAGGGATTTGAGCAAGAATTGCGTAATTTGAGTGGGGAATTTGCTTTGAGAACCGTATTCTAATTTGAATGGGGAATTTAAATTCAAATGGGACAGACTGAATGAGCAGATGGTTCAAGGCATGAGCCAGGAGGGACGGGGAGAGGAGGCGAAGGGTAGCGGATGGGAGCGGTGGTGAGTGGAGTGAGGGAAGAGAGCGGAGGGGAGGGAGGGGAGCGGAGGGGAGGGGAGCGGTGGAGAGGGGAGGGGAGGGGAGGGGAGGGGAGGGTAGGGGATGGGTGGGAGCAGGGGAACAGAGAGGAGAGGAGGGGGGAGGGGTTGAAGGAAGGTTGGGCTCGCGGACACTGTCGATTCGCGGACAAGGACAACCGCGCTTGGGAGGATGCATGCATGGCACAAACCGCCCAACCACCCGCCACCACCAGGCGGAAGATTGTTGAAAAGCAACGAGCGGCTGCGATGAAGCGTGAAATGAAATTCCCAACGCTCAGCGGCGGTGATTTGGTTTCAGTTGGGCGGAAGCTGGATCAAACAACAGAAGGTAAAGCAGCAGGTCAGCTTGCTGACGTCTGCTGGGCGGCAGGAAACTCACATTGGTGTCTTTTCTACTTGTCCGTTATCAAGCACGCCAGACTAGTTTTTTTTAGGGAAAATATGTCAATGGTAACTTACATGGGGCACTTTAACGCGTACGGTAACGATTTCAACGCGTTTGGTAACTCGCTTAACACGTTTGGTAACTCGCTTAACACATTTGGTAACTCTACACTAGCAGCCCATCACGCGAATGGTAACTACATGAAATTCCCGCCGAAATCTATCGAAAATGAGGAATTTATCGAGTTTGAGAGCTTTTACGCACATCATTATCTTTCTTGAACGCGTCCCGCCACGAAAATTAAGGACCCCGTTTGTTCTACTACCACGGACCGAAAAGTTCATAATTTATTTATAATCATGTAGCTCGTACAAAAATGGATAACATCATATTTTGATAGCATGATTGCGAACTTGCAAAACGATAAAAAAAAACTATTTCCGAAAGGACATATGGAATTTTACCTTTTTTTTAATACTGCAACGTTGGAATATTTTTTCATTTGGAAAAAAATAAACCTTTTCAAAATTACATCTTTCATTTTTTTAAATAAAGATCCATAAACGCCTGGTCGCAAGAAGTTTAAGGTTGTTGCTCTCAAATTTATTTGCCATCTGAAAGGGATATAGATTTGTTTGCCCCGGCTGCACGATAGAATAAAGTACAAACAGTTTGCGGAAAGTGCGCCAGAAACATTTATGTAAGAAAAGATGTTTCAACAAAACTTACGTTTCTGTACTTTGCTTGAAAATCGGAAAGTGTGTCAGGATTTCGGAAAGTGTGTCAGAATTTCGGAACTTTGTGTCAGAATTTCGGAGAGTGTGTCAGAATTTTCTGCTTCAGGATTTGTCAATTTATTCTGACGCGAGCGGGAAAAACCAGAATCAGGCTCAATTTCGGTGGGAATTTCATGTAGTTACCATTCGCGTGATGGGCTGCTAGTGTAGAGTTACCAAATGTGTTAAACGAGTTACCAAACGTGTTAAGCAGGTTACCAAACGCGTTAAGCGAGTTACCAAACGCGTTGAAATCGTTACCGTACGCGTTTTAGTGCCCCATGTAAGTTACCATTGACATATTTTCCTTTTTTTTTTAAGGAATGAGGGAGACGACACCCCACACTAACACCCTAAACAAACATACTATGGAACTAACTAATTAATTACATAGCCATTGTTTGATACAAATACAAAATGCCGAGAATGGGTAGAATACATGGGAGGTCACAGTTTGTATAGGTTGATCGAGGCGCTGCATACATTCGCACTATTTGTTTTTTTTTTTGTGAAATATACAGTTGTCTGATCTGATTGCGAGACATTTTGGACAAGACATCAAAAAGCGATAGCACCCTAACGACGTGTTACGACCCACACGGGTCGGGCCGACCCGCCCCCGATCCCGAATTTCTAAAAAAGGCTGCGTCGCGGGTCAACCCGACCAGGTCGACCCGACCCAATCCAACCGGGTCTGCCCGACCCGGGTCGACTAGGTCAGGTCAACCAGGCCGACCAGACCCAACCCAACCGAGCTGGAGCTGGTTACCCGAGCCTGCGAAATTTATAGTTCTCGCGCGGATGTTGCTTGTATCTCGTTCAACAAAAAGATACCCGGTAATATCGCCAAACATTGCCTCGCCCACCTTCCACCTGCGGAGCACTTGCTTTCTCTTTACTTCGAATGTGCAAAAAAGGCAAAGGGAAATTCTTTGTTTTCTCGAGTCGCCTTTCGGTTGGGTTGGGTCGGGTCGGGTCTACCCGACCTGGTCGACCCGACCCGACCCAACCCGCGTGGGTCGCAACACGTCGTAAATCACTGTCTAAACAGTACAGGTCCCTACACAAGTTATTCATTCCGAAAAAAATACTCTCAGAAGTTTTCGCTCACCAAGTAACAAAATCTTGATCTGGCAGAATGTTGACAATTTACCCAATTGCGACCGATAAGATGAGTAGACCCAATAATTAAAACGGCCTCACGTAAATGAAACACCCCGTCGAGCCCCATAAAATTTCCTTTCCAAATACACCTCAAGTGCCCCACAAACCGGGGCGGACACCAAATACTGAGCCTCCACCCACATGGCTCCCACAGTCCCTTCAGTATCTTTCTTCTCCTTGTCCACTAGATCTATATCTGCTCCTCCCATAGACGAAGCAGCGCAAACCAATATGTCCCAAGCCTGGGCACGCTACAAGGTCACCGCAATCATGGCCTTCAAGGATCACATGAGATCTGAAGAGGATGTACGGTCGTCCTCTTGACACGCACCCGTCGAAACGACAAGCCCAAAATGTGCGTCCTATTGCTGCCGCAGCCAACGTTTAAAGCGCCAACCCAGACACCCCTACGTCTCGGCAATAAGATGGGTGAACTGCACTCCCCGGTTGCGTGCTAACAGCGGTGCGTAATCTCTCGTCTTCATGAGCTCCCACTCCTAGGCTGCCACTCCTGTGGTCCGCCCACGCTACCCGACCAAGAATGGGGAAAGATACAAAGGGTCAGCGATGCTAAACTTCAAAGCATGCACTTCCTTCCCCGTTGGTCGGTGCACCGCGACATCTACCCGCTTGCCTATCAACATCGAGTCGTCCTCCATCGACACCACTCCTCCCGACGCCTTAGCGATCCTAGTCGTCGCAAACTTCACCTCGTCGTGTACCCCAAGAAGTCCATGCTGGTGCTTGCAGCGCAATGCATGGTGTGGATTCGCTGTATCTGTATTCTCAGTGCAGCAAAGGCAACGACACGCGACGTGCAACTGCTAAATCGTAAGGCCCAAACACACAGTCGTGGCAATGCCCCACTAAGCAGCTGTGAAGGTAAAATTTGAATGCATTAGAACTGCCAAGACCTATGCACCAGCTCCCAGGCCCTGAAGGGATGTGAAACGGGCCATGGTAGCACCATCACGGGCCATACGGCGAAGGGCATGGAGCTCCTCCACAGCTGCCGTGTGTAAAAAGGTCGAAAAGGTGCGGTTGCTGCGCAGTGGTGGAGACTCGGCATCTCCTGGCGTACAGCGTCAGCAGCTGCTCGAGGCTCTTGGAGAACCACGGATCGAGAAAGTCCACAACTCCCCTCCCCCCACCCCCACCCCCAACCCCCAAAGTGATAAGGTAGTCTAAAAAAAAAACACCTCCTCTTCCGCTATCCCAAGCTGAGGCATCTCAAGCACCGCCCGCGCCCATTCACAGGCATAGGAGAGTGGGCTCAAAGACACCGCAGCCCGTACATCGAAACCACCCAGGCGGACTGAAAGGTGCAGTTGCAGGCGGGCCAACCTAGACCGCCCAGGGTCGTGCTCCCATGTGCCCGGAGGGAAAAGCTGCTCAAAGAAGGTTCTCCATCCTAGTGTCCCCTTCCCTAAAGCCCTGCTAGTTGTGGTGGCACCTTCCGAGCAAGATACCTAGGTCGCACGGACTCTGCAACGGTCAGAAGTTGCGCTGCCATCTGGGGGTGCTCGAGTAGTGGGAGCCACTAAAAGGGCTTCTGCAACTGATATAGCCAATCCCGTAACCGGAAAACCTTCTAGTCCCCTGATGGGAACACCCACCATCGTGAGACTCTCCCCGGTCCGCTGCATGTCGGATGGCAGCCATTCCTCTAGGTCAGCTCCCCCCGCTCCCGACACTTATGTGCCTGCACTTGCAACCCCACCAACTCCAATCGCTCCTGTAGCTTGCAGAAGCCCTAGAACCTAAAATATAAGTATCGTCGGCATAGATCATGAACAAGACGCCGGAAAACTCCCTGATATTTGGATCCTAACCTGCTGCTGTGTGCAAGCAAAAAGGAAAAGGCCCAACAGGTCTCTCTGTCTTGACCCCCTTGCTGAAACCAGTGTCTCCACAAAAGGTCCTGCCCTCAGGTAGAGGTCGCTGGGCGACCCGTAGAAGATGCTCAAGAACGGGATGAGACCTGAGAAAGGTCATAGGCCACTATAGGTATCATGGTAGGAAGTGTGAGGCCATGGCTGTGCGAAGTGTGATGCAGAGTGCTCATGCAAGAATGCACAGCAACACTTCCCCGATAGCAATTGGCGTCACGTCGCCGCTGGGTTTGGAGAGCCCGACCAGGTTCGACGCTGCAAGCTAGGGTCAAACACGCTCAAGGACCTGTTCCACCA